CCTCCCAAGCATCCCTATAGGCCCTCTTCAGATACTGGAAGGCTGCTATGAGGTCTCCACGCAACCTTCTCTTCTCCAGGCTGAACAGCCCCAACTTTCTCAGCCTGTCTTCATACGGGAGGTGCTCCAGTCTCCTGATCATCCTCGTAGCCCTTCTCTGGACTTGTTCCAACATATGTCATTTAAATTAGGAAGAACTTATAATGTATTTTTATCTTGAAGATACGTATGTTTTGGTGAACTTTGTTGTACTTTTCACTGAGCAGTCAGTATGTAACTTGCCAAGCCTTATTTCAAAATCAAGCTTGTTGTTTTATGACTTGGCTACTTGAGGAGAGCTGAGTCCATGATAGAGGATGGGCAGTGAAGGAAACAGTGGTGTACTCCACAGTGCTGTTACCGGGGAGTTCAAGATGGCATTAGCTGCAATCAGCCCATGCCTGACTGGTGTGTGCTGCCATGGCATGAGGCTCTGTGGGCCTAGTTGGTGTGTGGCCATTTCTGAGCCATGGAGGAAGATCCTTGCTTTGACAGATGGGCAGCATGTACCTGCTGTGTCCCTGCCATGCTTGGTGGGGTGGGAGGCAGTGGCTGCCAAGGATGAAGGTGCTGTCTTCGGGGCAGCCTGCTTGGAGCAGCTGGAGGGATTGGGGCTTCTGGGGAGTCACAGCACAGCTGGGTGACCACAGACCCTCTTTGAGTCTCATGGAGGTTAGAATCACAGATTACTTGAGACTGGAATAGACCACTGGAGTTCGCCTGAACAAGCAGGGCCCCATAGAGCACTTTGCTCAGGACTGTGTCCCAGCAGCTCTTGAATGTCTTGGGGAAGGAGACTCGACAACTTTTCTGGTCAAGATCTTATAAGAACAGACTCTGTTTGTCTTAATAGATATCCTCCCAGGGGAAGTTTTGTTCAATTAGACCTAGAGGTTTCAAGCAGTCAGGGCCTTCTGATGTGGCATCAGGCACGTGGGAAGACTGAGGATCTTATCTAATATTTTCTGTGCCTTGTGTTTTTAGTGAACTGATTCTGTTATTGAAAATCCATGACAATAAAATTGCTGCACCATGCTATCAGTCAAGCTGTGTTTTGGAGAGTTGAAGAATGCCTTTTGTTTGAATCCAGCAGCAATCCTTCACTATTTTAAGGCTGAGCATTTCGGGGGTGGCATGGGATGTGTGAAATTGGATTCTGTTGACAAAATACACTAAAGCTGAGAGCAGTTGTGCAATTACATATCTAAAATGGTATCTAGCCATTGCCTTTTGCTGTCTTTCCTACCCACCTAGTCTCAGCCATGAACTGATGCGTTCAAGAAATACCTGTTGGTGCTGCATATTCAGAAAGCTGTAGTAATGTATTGTGGCATCCTTTTGTGTATGGGTAGTGGATAAATATATGAAATAAGGAGGAGAAGCACCTCTTAGTTTATTCAGCTCCTCAGTTTTAATTTGTAGTTTGATTTCTGTATTCTAGCTGTTTAGTTTGATAATTGATGAGGAGAAAATATTAATAAAACTTGGATTTTCAGATATGACTGTTTTACTGCATGCAAATATCACACTTCCATCTGTTCTTAACAAAAACATTTAATTTGGGCAGAGCTAGGGGTGATAGATCCAAGGTGTGTGACAGTGATCAAAGGTATTTTTTCTTAGTTTGGTGTGCAGGATTTGAGTTATAGAAGCTTTCTTATGTGCTCTTTTATTTGCTTTTGAAGGGTTTCAGTGTCACAAAAGGTTGGGTGCCTAATGACTGAACAGCATCATTAATTTTGGAGAGGATAAAGACTTGAAAATAATGAAGAATAAGCAAATCAGTTAATGTGAAGTTAGGGTTGGCTTTTCAGATACATGCAAAATTGGCCCCCGAGGACTTGTACCTGGGCTGTAGATCCAGTGGCCACAGGCAGTTAATAAACTGGTTCCAGAGGAATTCTATCTTCAGCTGGAAGTCCAGAACTTTCTTATTGGAGTCCACCAGTTGTCGTGCGGACAAGAGGTGATCACTAGTGACAGATAAAGTGCTTTAGTTACTCTTTATACTGTAAGTAGCATAGTTCTGGGCAGTCTTGTTTGTTTTTTTTTTTTATTAAATATGGAAGCATTTTTATTTTGTCTTTGTGTTTATAATGCTTCAAAAAGGTTTGGGTTTTTTTCTTTATTTAATACTTTGAAATGTTTTAACAGACGTGCTTGTACTTCGTACAGATCTTTATGTAGAAGCAGAAAAGACCTGTCCTGTTTTGTAGTGCTTAAGCTAATTAAGCTCCCCAACAGAACAGAGGGCAAAGCAGTATTTCTAGGAGATACTTAATTTCAGCAGTCTGCTGCTGTAATTTGTGGCTGACCTCCAATATCCGTATCTGCATTTGTTCCATTTTGACTTTCTATTCTGGAAACCCTTAGTTTTCCTTAACTGGAAGACAAAAATGAATAAGAATGAAAAAGAAACTTCTTTGAGTTGTGCTGGTTAAACAAGAAATGCATTTTTTCAGTTGACTTAGTTAAACCAGTGCAAAACACTGAGAAACTTCCAGGTCTTAGTTTAAGCTTTGCATGTTTTGACCTAGATGAACTGACTGAAGAAGGTTCAAGCTACATAGATACAAATGTGAGTGAGCTGAGAATCGGTGTAACATGCTTTGTCTGAAGGCAATCCAGTTTGGAGCAACTTTGAATATAGCTTAAAATGAGCAATATCAAGTTCATAATGGTCTGAATATCTGGAAGACAGCTTCTTATGGTTTTTTTCTTACAAGCTTTCTTCAGTAACAGTAATTAAATTCTTCATGCATGCTTTACATTGGAATGAAACCGGTTAGACCAGATGTGTTTGCTTTCTTCAATCTTCCTTTTCCAGAAAGCAAGTGTTGTCCTTGTTCTGAAAGTCTGAGCTTGGTGGGATCATGGAGAGTGTTGAATTAAAGTTCTTGTAGTGGGAAAGGTTAGAGTATCATGTGCAGGATTTATGAATAAAGGGTGAGGGTATATTTGATAAGAGGCAGGCATGTCTTATAACTCATTCCAAAGAAAATCTTGTCTGTGGCGTGGTAATTTAGGAACCAATGTCTAGACTGCTTTGGGAAATTGTAAACATGATGTCTTCAGAAGAAAACCGTAAGAGTTTAAGAAAAAATAATGTGCATTATATTTTTAATATTTGACTGAATTCCAGGGAGATTGGAAGTAATTTGGCAGTATTTCGGTCTCCCTGACTGCTAGGTGAATGCCAGCCCATGGTAACATTTTCTTTCTTGAATATACAGCAGCTTTGGGTTTGCATGATTACACAATGTAAACTAAGTATTTGTCAGTAATATAGAATTTTTACTTTAAATAGTGGTATATCTTAATTTTATTAAACTGTTTATACATGTTTGAGAATCTATAACATATGATCAAGCTCTGTTATTGGACCTAAACAACTTGATCTTCATATTGCTGTACAGAGCTGTTAAAACATTACATTTTGTGAGTAAGGATAAATGTTTTTATTCTACTACAGTTACTGTCAAACACTAATCTTTAGAATGTGAAAATAGTTTTAGGAGGCAGGTTTAATGCAGTTTTTATCTTTGCTGTGTGTGAAGTCACGTGCTTTTTGTTAGTGGTTGAATGATGTGCTTACTGGCCCATTGGAATACTTAGAACGTAGCCATAGTAGTATTTCCATCATTTGAGGTCTTTACTGTTGGGTTCTTCTGTCTGGTTTTGCTCTGGTGTGGTGAAGAACTTCTGTTTCAAAGACAGACAAGTTTCAGTTCAGACCAATTTGTTGTTACATACAAGCGTTATCAGTTGAAGTTCAGTTACTAGTCCTCACTCTGCTCTGCAGTGTATTTGTAAGCGTAGTCCAATGTGGTGTCAGAAAACCTTTATTGGGTATTATAACATATGAACAGAATTTCCATTTTATGATGAACAGTATTATGCCATAGGTTATGCAGAACTTGTCAGTCTCTAAATTAATGCATGTATTTAATCTTTGCAAAGTTGCTGTCATTCTGGGTATTAGAAATGATTCACCAAATAAATATTGAAGTTGTTTTATCTATATCCCTTGTGAAATGACTATATTAGTAGCTTTTCAGGAAAGGAATTTTATGGCACCTTTTAGAGGAAGACATTGTCTTGAGTGTTAAGCAATGATTGAAGTAGTGTTTTGAGAAATAAATGTAATTTAACTGAATATTAAAGCTTTTTTTATCTGTGTCATTTGTTCTTCATAGTTTTCCATATAACTTGATGTTCTAGAACAGTGTTGGTTTAGAGTCTTTCTGTAGAATTTGTAACCCGGTACTCTCAATATTCCTGTTAATATTGAAATCTCTGTTTTGGTTTTCTGTTACCCACTGGTCTTTCAAGTGTTTGCCTAGCAAGGGATGTGATATTTTAAGCTAGTAGATAGTAATGCTGTTACTTACTAGTTACTGTTTCTGCTCTAATAGCTTCATAATTCTTTAGAGATGTTTGTTTAGAGGAAATAATCTGGATGTATCTGGACCAAGAGAATATCATTAATAGTGAGAATTATATACTTGAAAAGAGGAGAAATCTATTATATAGTGTTTCCTTAAATTCTCTCTCTCTCTCTCTCTCTGTATATATGATATATAATTTTTTTTTTAAGGACAGGCCACTATACTGCTTTGACAGCTTAAAGTGATTTCTAGCAGTAGTGAACTCCAGTTTCATGTTTGTGTTCTTTGCAATATGTGAGAAAAACTGGCAGGACTGCATGCCATTGTAATTAAACTATTAAACATAGAAACTTGAAGGGAGAAGCTTGTCTTACCTGTTTAGGGAGTATCTGTCAGCATATTTAAATGAAATTTTATTTTGAAACTGTATGCTTGTAGTTATTACCACATTCCTTAGCAGCATAACTAGTTTGTGATCAAATGATGGAGGTATCTTCAGAACATGTAACAACATTTGTTACACTGTAAACTCTGTACCTTTTGTATTTATTTGTGTTATTTTTATTTTTACAGGATTACAAAGCCATTGACATTTGCTGACTGTGTCGGTGATGAGCTTCCTTTAGGATGGGAAACTGTTTACGATCAACAGATTGGAGTTTATTATATGGACCACATAAATCGTAAGTAGATGTATGATTATTTTGAGGAATCCTAGCAAGCTGATCTTTACTGATGGCACTAACTCTGTTTCTAATACCATTTATGCAGCTCATGCTATAGCAAGAAAATGTATGCAAGTAATTTCTTGCAGTATGTTTTCTCATCTTTGAAATGGGGGCATAATCCTTCCGTTTGTAATCAATTTTACAACCTATGATTGAGTTACAGTGTACCTAACTTCTTTCATTTTATCATACTGTGGAGTATCAGTAATATTGTTGCTTTTTGTCCTCTGTCAAGAAGATTTTAATGCTATACCCTTGTATTTCCTATTTTTTCACTCATCCATGTTTCACTCTTCAGTGTTGAAAACCAAAATACATTCTGAGAGAAAAGTGCTGATTTTTAATTAGGAGTACCATGAAATACAGTAATCTCATAGTCTCTTAAGCAATGTATATTTTATGCTTTGATACAGTACAAAGTGCTCTTGAAACAACAATAGATGTCCTTTTTGGAAACTAAGAGGGAGAAATTTCCAACATTTTCCCTTTTGGACTATTGCTGAGCTTTGTATCACCGTTGTCTGGCACATTTGCCAGTTCCACTTAGAAAAAAATGCCTTATCTTTACAGCTTTGTACTACTGCTGCTGTTACTGTTGTGCTGCTATCATTCTTATCACCAATGAGTGGATGCTTTCAATATTGTGGGAGTTGGCAGACAGCAGGGAAGGAGAAAAGAAAAAAGTAGTTATATGGGCTATCACAGTAGTGGTAAATAGTATAATCTGCAGAAACAACCTCAATACTATCTACTTGAAATCAGGTCAGTTAAAAAGTAAAAGTGAAGAAATAGCTTTTGGCTTCCTGCCATCATTGGAATTCCTTGTGTATTGTGGTTTCACCCCTGACAGAATAGCAGATGTTCCCATAATATTGTTTGAGCCACATCGGTACTTTATTTGTTGTGAAATTAACAAAGATCATAAATGAAATAATAAACTTTAAAGAACTAACTATTAATGCACTGATCACAGGGATAGACAGCTGAGACAGTTGAAAGGCAATAAATACAGACTGTTAGCTAATTCTTACAGTAACTCTGTTTAAAAGAAGTAGTAGCTTAGTGATTGCTGTTTAAACTGGCATGGTAATTTTGGTTAACGTTGAGGCTTAATAAAAAGTGAAGTTCACATCAGAGCGCTTGTACCAACATACGTACATGTGTATGAATGTACATAGTAAAAAACCCAAAACCCGACAACTCCCCAAACAGAAAAACCTAAATGAGGATATTGGCAGTTCTTTTTCTTGAACTTTGAAAAAGGCATTAGGATTCCCTATAGATAAGAGAACAGAGCATGAAATCCCATCACAATGCTGTAACTAGAAAAGCTACTGAAACATCCTTCCTGATAGGCATCTTTGATAGGAATGGCAATCAGCATCGTGTACAAATGAAATCACTCACTTTTGCTTTTCAGACTTTGTTATTAGCTGCTTTACTGCAGACATCAAGTTAGAACTTACGGAAAGGATATTAATCATTTTAGGCATGTCAGATCTGGCTGGCTTTTTTTTTTTTTTTCTATGCAGTTGAGAGTAAAAACTGTAGAAGATTGTCTTTTGCAGGGAGAGCTGAATTTCCAAATGCTCAGTAGGAAGGCACAAAAAGAGAAGATTAATATAAATGGGTCTGGGAAGGCAAAGGTAATTGTATTAGGAATTAAATAAAGGTAATATATGAACAGAGGTATAGAAATTTCGTAGGGCCAGTGCTGAACTGAGTGAAAGGAATCATTCTGCAATTAACAAGTTGCAAAATTTGTCTCTTTCATGATAACTAATTACTCGCAGCCCACAGATATTATCCTAAATGGTAATTCAGCCGTCACAGCAAAATGGGTTTGTCACCCTTAGGCTAATACAGTACTTGCATATACAAGCAAGTTTTACATTCAGAGGGAAGACACAGTTGGTACTATAGCCAGGTAATCATTATTCAAAAATGAGTACAGTAATAGGTCCAATTTTAAACTGTGGACAATAAAGGTACCAATCAAGACTGCGTTAACCTCCTTTGTAGAATTAAGAGCTAATGAGTAGATAACCATGTGTATCATGAGGTGGCGTCAGGCAAGTGGTAGGTATGGGTTAGGGACTGAAAAAAAATGTTTTTCTGAAATGAGTCCTTTGTATTCTGAACTATTACTACAATACTTGGAATGGCAACTTCCATGTGAAAACATTCAGACTGCCTTTTGTGGCTGACCGGATTAAATGCTTCATACGGCCTTGGAGTTCTGTGTTAACTGACAAAGCAGAAGTGCTTTCTTTCAAGAAACGCTGAGAAAAAACGCAAGGGATAATTCAAAGCGAGTCTTTTCTAAAGTTAGGCTTACTAGGAACGTCTCATGCTTTGTGCACCATCTCAAGCTTTTTGCCCTTGCACCTTTTAAAAGAAAACATTAATACATCTGATTTTTCCAAGCCTCTCGCTATGCTTGTTTACCCAGAAAGTAATAAAAAGCTTTCTAAGCAATAACTTTCCATTTATATTGAAAACCCCCAGGAACAGAGGAATCTTCTGTAAATCTCAGTGGTGCTTCCAACCCTGATCTCCATCTTGTTCTGCAAATTCAGTACTTTGTTGACACCCTTACTAAGCTGCTCTTGGCTCTTGTCCAGCCATTGCTTAAAAACCTTGGCGGCTGCTGACCGCAGAATTCCTTTCCCTCCTCCTCAGAATCTTGGGAGCCTTTGAAGTCTCCTTTAACCAGTTGGGCATTCCCCAGTGAGGAAATAATATATTCTCTGCATTTGTTTGGGGCTGTTCTGAATTGTTGTATTTATTTTTATTTTTTTTTAAATTAGTGATAAATTAAGGAACTGAATTTTGTCATACAACATAGCTTTAGTTTTGTTGGTACATGGCAAACTTGTGTGGAAATCCAGGGCAAAGTGAAGCCTCTGTACTTTATAAATCAGAAAAGAGCGTCACTACTGTACTGAAGAAGTTTTGTGCCTCAGAAGAATGCTTCTAGCTCTTGAGTAGCTTCTGAAATAATTTCGTAGGAGACACTGTGCCCTGTAGTACAGGTCTTTAGAAGCTTAGTGTGTGATACATAACGTGTCTGTTGAGATTAGAACTGTTAATTTCCTGTTCAAAAAGAGACGCTTCCTGGGTTCTAACTCTTCTGACTCATAAATATTTATTAATCTCTGCATAGTTTCCATAGGGGATTAGCAGTTTTAGGAATATTAAATTTATACAAATTTCAGGAATGCTTATGGACAGATGAGATAGCATTGCAAATTATCACGTTCTCAGTCAAGGATGGGCGGCAGTGTGAATTCTTTCTTCTGCTTGCTCTGCAAGCAGGGGAGGATTTAAAAGATTGGAGCAAGCCACAGCACATCCTGTCCTGGGCTGCAGAGGTAGTCTGGGGGCACTGGAGCCAGAAAGTGCTGCTGGGAATCAAGGGTTATGGGGATATACTGGGGAGATATGGGGATATGGGGAAAAATTGCAGAACTGTAGGCACGATCTTTGTACCTTTAAAATGTGAGAAGCTGTGGGGAGATAAAAGTTACAGCTGTTGAGAGACAAGGTTATTAGGAACCTAATAGACAGATCTGTAAGCACCGTTCACAGATGAACTTTGTTTTTGTTATGTACATTTCAGATGGCTCTCAAATGGTAGAGCTGTTAGCATGACCTTGACAGTAGGGTGACACTAATGTGTTGCTCTCAGTCTTTTACAGTTTCCTGTATCATCACTGATGACAATATACTGAATCATGTTCACAAGATTAATCCAAAACGTAACTAGCTCTCATATCTTGTGAGAAGCAAAGTTTGGGAAGATTACTTAACCTCCGGACTGTGCTGCAGGTTCTGCCACTACTTTGAACATTGACATTACATCTGCAGCAACTTCTTACCAATAGAGCCTCAATCAGCAGAAATTAGCATTGACTTAAATATGAAACTTTACATGGACATCCTTACGTAAAATATTTGCTAGCTTGAGCAGCACCGCAAAAATGAACTGATACTTTTTTTAGTATATTAATGCATGTGTCCTCCTTAAAAGTCTTTGCAGCTGCAAGGGAATTGCTGTATGGTTATAACTCTGAAGATCTGTATATATGGGAAAGATTTTGTACTGGAAACCTGTTTTTGATTTGTGTTTGAATGCAGGCTGTTCTAAACCCTGGAGGGAGAGAGCATCAGAGTGCTATTTCTTAAGACAAAAAAGAAGCAGTTGAAATGTTTTTGTGGATTTGAGATTAAAATACTAATTTCTGTTGAATTACATTATTCTTAATTACACAGGTGTAGTCACTGACCCTTCAGGATGTTATACTTGTGAAGTTGTATGTAGTATCTTAAGGTTGTTACAACCATTTGTAGAGTTATGAGTTAAGCATTGAGATACGTTTCACGCTCCTACATGGTTCTGGGTTTTTGGGTTGCTTTTAGAATTTTCAAGTTGGCTATGAGGGACAGTAAGAGTCAAAACACTGTTTTTGTTGGGTTTGCACTAGTTTGTAAGGAAAATAATAACATTTAAATGTCTTTTATATTTGAAAGGGATTTTCCTGTTCTTCCACTCTGCATCCTTCCTTTTTATTGTCCAGGCTGGAGTGATTTTGAGCACTGTAGTGTTAGGTATGCTAGTTGTGAGCAGGCTTTAACCAAATAATTTATACTTTGTGGTATGCAGCATCTTACTTTTTTTTTTTTAAATGCTTTTCTCCTTAGAGCTCACACAAATTGAGGACCCAAGGGAGCAATGGAGGAGGGAGCAGGAACGCATGCTAAAGGAATACTTAATTGTTGCCCAGGAGGCACTCAATGCCAAGAAGGAGATTTACCAAATAAAGCAGCAGCGTTTTGAGCTGGCCCAAGAAGAATATCAACAATTGCACAAAATGTGTGAAGATGACAGCCGTTCTTATGCCAGCTGTGAGTTTGCTAGCCTTTTCTTGATTTGTCCACCTGCCTTGTACAACATGTGGTGTAAGAAAGCATGTGAAGTGTTCCTGTCACTCGGTTCTCCTCTGAATGAGGATCCTGACTACAAAAGTGAGGTGCTGTCCTTTGTTATTCAGCGAATTCCATTTCCTGTTAGATCTATTAGAATATGCTTTTTTTATCAACATTAAACAGGAGTATATCCCAGCTGCTATCTCTAGCCGTCGCAGAGCCAGGTGTAATAATGATTCACATAAGGCAGCAAAGACAGGACTGATTGTTGCTTGTCAGTCACGTACTTGCCCTCCTAAATTGATAGATTATTCCACTCTGACAAGGGGAGGGCACCATCATCTTAGGGGAAGCCCTCTGTGGATCCGTGGTTGATTTATTGACTATAAAGAGTTAGGGCCAAGGTGTTGTGGTCAAGAGTACCTCTGCCACAAAGTAGGAAGCAGTGTTTCATTAATGCACCTCATTCTTGACTCTCAGCCTGTGATTCTAGTGCTGGTGGTGTAGGTTATAGAGCCCTGATTTTCTGCCCTTTTCATTCTTCAGATATCTCTGGTAGCTTGAAAGTAGATGATAGACTTTTACTAAAATCTGAAGTTGTTGCACTGCTGTCATGGCTGTTGGCTGGTGAAAGAGGAAAAGGTGTCTTTGCTGAAAAGTCAAAACAATTAGTTCGAAGTGTATCAAATGGATATACCCATCAGCCATGTGGAAGTGTAGTGTTTCACTGCTCTGGTGGATTTTCAGTGGTCATCGTGTGTACAGCAATTGTTTAACTGAAGGCTTTGCTGATAAATGCCAAGTTCTTCATAAATATGGGAAACTCTCCTCAGCCCTTTCTGAAAATGTTCAAGAAACCTGACTGTGGAGAGGGGGATTAAAGCAGGCATCTGAGTAGAAATGCTTAGCTACTGATCCAGTGGTATTTATGAATCCAAGGTATGCCAGAATTCTGAATAAAAGATGTTTTCTAGGGCTGAGGTGTCCCAGATGGTCTTGACCAAGTGTTCCTTTACTCTTGAACTGGGCTTGTTGCACCTTTTTGTTTAGTTTTAAATACAAGAATTGTGTGATTTCATTTTGTGACATAACTGAACAGTTGTGACTAGTCTTATTACTCCCTGTTAACGTTCAAGTTTCTTAAGAGTTATTAAGAAAGATACATTTTTTTCCTTACTCAGAAAGTAATTTTAAAAAAGAAAGTCTTGTTTAAACAAAGTGTTTAACTACTGGTTAAGGAGTTGGAATAAGATAAAAGGTAATGTGATAATTTTATTTCTGCGGATTATAAAATCTGAATACACATGTATTTGAGTACTTTTGTAGGAGCTTGGGCTTTTGGTATTTTGAAAATTTGCAATCGTTCTGTGGGACATTTTGTTAAATTACTTCAGGTGAACATACAGAGAGAAACTGTTGATGGTAATACACTAAAAAACTATAACCTGTTTCTCATATTTTTAAACTCTTGAAAAAACAAGTTGCTTGATACAGCAACAGAATATGACTGAAAAAATGGAGGTTCTCTGTAGCATGTATGCAAATGCTATGTCATTTGACTTCTAGGTTTCCCAGTCCTCTGATTCTTTTTTTTTAGGTATTGCTGTGGAATTGATAATGAGATACTGTAAAATGGCTTAAAACTTTCACTTGTTTTGAGGTGACAATAATACTTTAATTTTTTACAGATGTGTTAATATATTTTATGTTGGTTTAAGGTGTGTTAATATATTTTATGTTGGTTTAAGGTCATATGCATCTGTTGTGAGAAAATGGTATGGGCTGATTAGTCAGATGAGCTATTAAAATCCCTTTGGGGATTAATCATGCTGTCAACTCAAGATTCCCCAAAGCTTCTCCACTTATTTTCTTAATTCAACTTCACTTCACTCTGCAATGCTTGCTTCTCTAATTTATTGTACAGAAATCCTAGGCTCCTAATTCAAGTGCAATTAGATGGGCAGAATTAGGTGCTCATATTGCTGATTCTCCTGCCTCCACCACTAGTTGTTTCAGTTTGTTGAGTGAGAAGAACTAAAACTTAACAAATTTCATTTTGCTTGTGGTTGCTGCCATTGAGTCAGTGTTGTCTGCTCATAAGTGGGAGGTGGCGTGAGCTCAGCGATCGTGGGTTGGCAGGGAGGTGCCAGTGCAGCAGTTTTGTGACTCAGTTGTGATCAGCACTGTTTAAAAAATCCAGAGAAAACCCTGGATTTAGAGAATTAGTCCAGGCATGACTACACATTTTGGCAAGTTCCTGCATGCTTGACATGACCTTGGCGTTGCTGTAATCTTTGGAGAGTCAAAAGGTTCAGTGCAACACAGATACGGTTTCAAAGCAACAGCCTTGAGCTCTGCAAAGGGATGGTAGGTCTAACAGCACACCACCATTCCTTCACGTAACAGGCATTTTTCAGTAGGCCTGTGCTGCTGGGAATGGCTCACTCAATAAATCATGGTTGGTCTTGCCCAGTCTATTCTGTAGGACCTTTACTTCATCTGTCTATGCTTCAGCTTGTAATGTCACAGTTTGAAATCATTGCCTAACTCTAGATGTGCAGTGTTAAGAGCTCACTTGCTAGAGGTTGATCTGTATTGTAGGGTCCCTGTGTCCTTCCTTTAGGAGGCAGCTTCTCCCTGTAGCTGATTGAATTTTGTTCTGACAATTGGTTTTGTGTTTTTTTTACTTCAGTCCCTATCATACTGTTAATTCAACATACATAGGAAACAATTAGCAATTGTTAACGTTACACAAATTGCTTGCATCGGTAAATCCTGCCATGGAAGCCAGTTGCTTTTAGGCAGTATACAGTGCTGCTATATAAGATTTTTGTTATTCAGAACAACAAAAAAATATAACTGAGGCGCACCAAATGTAATTCTTCAGTGGTACTTTAAGCGCAGAGGGTTATTTTAAAACCTAGTGACTTGTGACACAAACAATGAATGCAGTGGCCTATTAAATAGTGACACATCTTAACATTTGTATTAAAGAAGTAATAAAAAATAATGTAAAATGGTGTTTTCTATCTGTTTAGCATTCTCTGGATTTTCAACTAATACCAAGTATGACCCATATCAGATCAAAGCAGAAATAGCCAGCCGTCGTGACAGGGTGAGTAATTTTTTTCATTTTGTAGAAATACGAATTGGGCATGGGGAATGTAGGGGTCTGTGTTTTTCTTTACCCTATCATTTACACTGGGTGTACATTTTTAGAATAGAATACTGTAAAACTGCTTTCCTGCTCTGCCCTGCTGTTCTGTCAAAACAAATCTTTATTTACTGCATTTCAGTAACTTGCAAAGTAATGCTTTTTCCATGTTAAAAGCATAAAGATTTTTGTCACAGATGTCAGAGGCAAGCTCAGCTAGGCTTTCAGAACTGACACAGCTAGTAAATGCTCTGTAGCTGAATTCTTCCTTGATTAAGTGCAGTTCAAGCCCACTGCCTTCATAGTTTCCCATTTTACCCTTTTTCCATGGGCTTCTATGGATGTCACTGAATTCTGGCCGACTGCTCACAGTTTGGTAGACATGTTGGCCAGATAGAGAACATTTTAGGTGATTTGGCCAGGGCTCCTCTATGAGGGGAGTGCAAGTAATCTGATGATGACAGGCAGTAGTGATAGGCAGTTCTGTAATAAGAATGCTCCTTTTTTAAAAAAAATGCTAGAATCATGCTTTTGGTACTGTCTTGGCTGAATAGTTTTCTTGAATTTTTCCCATGCTGCTTTAGCAAAGAAGTCTGCATGTTAGTGTCAAGCAAATTGATAGAACAGTTCTAAAAAGCAGTTTATAATATCAAATTCTAGAACCTATTTCCAAATGGTATGTTTCTTTTTATTAACGGATAAAATGGGATTTAGCACGCCAAGCACTTGGCTCACAAAATAAATAAAAACCACTTATCTTTGCAGGGTAGTGTTCCATTTTTGTTGTAGTGACCACTTTTCACATGAGTGCCTCTGAAAGTAAATCCTGTTCACCACCCTTCAAAGGCATTTATTCTATCTGCGTATGTTTACTACATGCTGACTAGTGTTTGGTTGTTTTACATACTCTAGATGCCAGCATACTCTAAATGAGAAAACAAACCTTATTTATATAAGTAGTATTTAAAGAAACAAACAAAATCTTTACTTAAACGGTTATTTCTCTTTTCCTGAATTTTAAAACAAAACAATCTTCTAAATGCATAGGATAACTTGTTCAGTTGAATGTGTGCATGGGCATTGAGTTGCTTCAGGTAATAGAATAAAACATGCACTGAAAAGTGTTTGTGTGTGTGATACTAGCGATGTATTTTTTCATTTTACTTTTGGTGAGTGTTGAAAGAGCTGGTGAGGTTTTAGGAGCATTTTGAGGTCTGGTGCCATGCCCGTCACACTTGGGATAGAGCTGACAATATGAATTTATGCCTGGATATGGATGGATTTTATTTTTTTTACTCCTTTTTTTTTAATAATGGTTTTGTCCTTTATTGACATACATGTAAAAATCAAGAGCACTCTGGATTAATTTTAGAAAAGGTACCAAGTTTGATCATTTGAGAAGACAGAGCTTTTTTCCTTCCACGCCTGCCTTTATTTGGGCTCTCAGTTCAGTCTCATGCCTTACTAGCACACACTGAAAACACCTTCATTCCACCCATTTGTTTGTAGTCTTTTTCATCCTCCTCCCCCCATTGCTCTCAGTTATGTATATAAGTTTTGGAGGGCAAGAAGCTACTTCTTTGCAGATCATTCCTAGTGCTGATAGCAGTCTTCTAAGTCTGCCCAATCTACTTAGGCAATTGTTTTCATAAACCCATAAAATTATGTTTTGGAGACATCTCTGCTTTGTCACTTTTGATTTATGCTCACTGTTTGGATTGAAGTAATTGGCAGGGAGATTGAGTGGGGTGGACAATATGAAAATAATGTAGAAAATCAGGCAGCCATTTCTGGGAGAGAGGCCAGTTTTGTTGCCAGTGATTTTTGTTTTCCCAGATAGAAAAATTAACAGCATTGTCTGTTCAGGGCTTTTTTACGTTGGCTAAAGAGTTGAAGACAGTTGAGAGGTGCCTGACAGCTATGGGGGGAAAAGAGAAACTATATGGTTTGAAACTTGCTGGTTGTTGGCATAGGCTATTGGAGAAAGGAAACAAAGAAAATAGATGAGGAAACTGATACTTTGCAGACTGAATGTTGTGACCGCTGTTTGATTGGGTCTTATGATATTATGAACAGAAGACTTAAGACTTATGAACAGATAGTCTTTTGTTATTTTAATGCAAATTTTAAAGCAAAAAGGAGAACTTAGATTATCACTTCCAATTTTTTTTAAGTAACCTGATATTTTGTATTTGAAAAATATTTTTTTTATTATGAATGTTTCTGTTACATTTTATTACTTTATTTTGTTATCTTTAGCTTTCTAGGCTAAAACGAGAATTGGCACAGATGAAGCAGGAGCTGCAATATAAGGAAAAAGGAGTGGAAACTCTGCAAGAGTAAGTTAAGAGTTTGTGGGAGGATCTTTTTTTCCTTTGTTCACCTTGGAATAATTTTTTAGAAAAGTATTGTCAAAAAAAAAAACCCACCCCAAAATGGTTGAAACCTCTTAATTGCTTTGATTCAGAGTTTTTGCTGTGATAAAGTGATGCAGGGGGAGAACCGTGTGAAATGCTGAAAGGAGGGTTGGAGAGAAGTAGTTGGAGACCTTACAGATCCACATGCAAAACCAGTCTTTATAGCCCCTTTTCTGTGACTGTTCCTGAAGATGCTGAGGTGGAATTAGATTTAAAAAATATTCTCCAAATGTTTTTTTGAGATACGTACAGCCTGAAGCACCATACAGCAGAGCAGTTTTCCTGTGAACAGTACCAAGGCTTTCTGGCTGGGCACAAATATTCCTCAGGGTAGCCTGTGCACCCCAACACTGCTTCTTCCTTTTATATGATGGTCAAGTTGTCTCATTTCTGCACAGTGTAGGTGATTTGTGTGTACTGTAAATCTGATGGTCTGTGAGACATTTAATTTTTTTATTGCATCAGTGCATGTAAATGGGAGTCCTTGTGTCCTCCCTGTGAGGAAAGGCAGCTCTGGGCAATTTGCCATTGCTCCCAGGGCTTTTAGGCAGCCCATGCTCTGTTTCTTCCGTGTTCAGTGGTGGCAAAAGTTGTGAACTGTTGTGGTGACCCTCTCCTTGCCACTTTTCCTGCAGACCATCAGATGGGAACTGAGTGACTTCCATCTGTGCACTGCTTAGTCACCTACACACGTAGCAAGTATGCGGGATGCCCAGTGGGATAGGGAGAGAGGTTGCCAGGCCATGGAAAAGATGGCAGGTAAACACAGGTTGTTGTGACTTCCAGATCTGTTCAACATGGCTAGGGGCTAGACCGTGTGTTGAACAGCTCGTGGATTTGCCTTGGACATGTGGCCGTGCATTTAGAAATCTTGGCCTTTTTTCCAGCATGTATGTGAATGGACTGCTTAATGCAGACGCTTCCTGAAAACATTGGAACTGTTGCATGTCTAATGTATTTTGCAGCGTTAAGTACAGTATCCGTTGAAAAATTCTGAAGCTTTGGTTTTATTGTGTTGGTGCTACAAAGCATGGACGCACGCTTTTGCTTCAGTAATTTTGGCAAAGTTCCAGGGATCCTGGAGAAATTAGGTTACTTACTTTCCAACTTTCAATTTTATTTGGTATAATGTTAACAAAATGGTATAAAGGGAGACACTCAGATTTTGCTTTTAAAGAAGGGTGAGTAGTGCATGTACTTCATATCCTTTGGTGGGTTGGTTTGTTTGGTTTTTTTTTAAGCTTACAAGGTTCTTCTGATTTATAATGCATTTTAAAAGATTCAGTGAAGTATACTTGTTCACCTAAAATCCTTCATATATTGGCAGATACAATGTAATCATTTTCAGGCATAAATATGTTTTTATTGACTTCCTGAAGTCTTTACAGCTAGTTGGTGGAGTTGTTAATGTATGATATTAGCTGAAAATTAGTAAAACAGAGCACTCAGTATATTTCATCAATAACTATATTAAGTAATCTAAGTGTAGTTGAGATTTTAGGATGGAGGCCCACATATGTAAGCAGTAACAGAACAAAGCATTTCAGTCTTAAGATTCTTAATCATATTTTCTTTAAGTGAGTAAGAATTGTCTTCCCTTTTCTACTTTCTGTATTTGGTTTCCTTCTGGGTTATTGGGTTATTTTAAGGGAATAGGTTCAGTTGTTTTATAAAAGGACTAACCACTTGAACAGGATTATTGAAGTATTTGAAGGCCATTTGAAACTCAAGATTGTTTTAATTAATCTAATTCATTTAAGATAGTCCAACAAAGTAGTGCAACTTTTTGAAAAGTGAAGTCTGGAAATGATTAAGAATACAAATGTTAGTCTTGGCTTTTAGCCTAAGTGAAGTTGCTCGTACTCCAGGATGGGTGTATAGGAGAGACATTCAAGAGAAGAATTAGTTAAAAGCATATCTGATTAGTCAGTGGTCATTCTAATAATTTAGTTTAAAAGTTCCAGCATGACAACTCAGAGCTCTGATGCTGCTCATTGCTGCTGTTACTATGGTCATTTTCTGTCCCATTGGTGTACTAGGCCATTTGTTGTTGCTGGCTGACGCTGGGGAGAACATTTTGCTGGTGTGTTACCTGGCATTGCAGTGAATTTCTGTCAGTGTTTCTGCCTTCGAAGTCAAGCACAGTGACTTTGCTTGAAGCAGAGGCTGGTGGATTTGTTTGCTTTTTATGTTTTCAAGTAATTTTTTAATTGCCCTTCTGATGAGATCCATGATTTCTTTGGAACAGTTTGCCACTTTGCAGAGTACTCACACTAACAAGTGAAGAGCGAAGTTTTTGTAGCCTCTTTGTGTACACAGGGTACAAATTGGACTGAAAGCCTAACTGTGCTCTAGGTTGTCCCTGAGTGATCTCTCTCCTGCCCCTTGTATTTGTGAGGAGAGACGGATCACTCAAGTAAGTACAAAAGCTGAAGTACTTTCTTCTACGTATCCACAAAGTAAGTATATTGTCTGAAAAGAAACAGCTTCTGCTTTAAAACAAAAATGCTGATATCCCCCCAACCCGCTTCTTTTATTTTTCTTTTCCAAGTTTCTTGCATCTTAGACATTTCCCCCTTTTCTTACCTTTTCTAAATTTTTGGTCAGCATAACTTTTCTTGCTTCTTGTGCTAGGTCAAATCTTCAGTTACTGCCAGACTGAGAATAGTATGCATCCTATTCGGCTTTTTTTTTAAAAGCCAGGTTCTTAACTTTTATTTCAAGTATAAGCCAAGAACAGCATTAGGAGCTGTCACACTTTGGGCTTTCCATTGGGTTGAATGCTTGCTTTTAAAGTGTGACTAGCATGGGTCATGAGCAGGTATCAGAACCTGCTGCCGAATGACTCTGTGTGCAACCTGCTGGCTCTAGCTCTCAGAGAAGAGACAAATTTTATGTGAAGGGTAGTTAGGTTGCTCAGTATTTTCATCATTTTATGTTACTGTCTGATTCAGATGCCTTCATTAAATGTAAATCACTTGCATTGACATTTTCTGCATACAGTGTCCGCCTTGGACTGTATTTTGTTTTCTGTTCTTTTTAATTTTAGTCAAATGACTTAAGCCATCCTTGATGAGAATTAAAAAAACAAACCGAAACAAAACAACAAAACAACTAGGGAAAAGGGGGTGGGGGGGTGTGAGAGGATTGAGGTTTTTTTAAATACCTCTACAACTCCCGTACAATCAGAATTTCAAACTTTGTAGTGCTGCAGCTTTTTATTAGGACTGTGTTTTCTACAGTTTCATCCAAATTTGGCAATGTTGTGATAAGCCTTCAGACATCGCAGTCTGCTGTTGCCCAATGGAGACTTTCTAGAGCTCATCGTTTAAAGCCTGCAAAGATTCCACCCTGTGTGACGGTGTTTCTCAGCCTCCACAGGCGCCTTTTCCCCGAGGTGCGGCTGATCCTGTTGCAGTCCAGTTCAGGATTAAAGATGAGCCTTTCCTGGAACAAACTCCTTCCCCTGACCTGGCGCCAGGGACTGAGAACAAGGAGCAGTTCCTCCTCCCCTGTGTTTTCAGTGACCCTTCTATGTGCCGGCAGGAATTTTGGAGGAAGGAGGCATTTAGCAACAAAGGAAATGAAAACTCAGCCAGTTGGCCATGGAAGCAGAGCGAACACTGGGAAGTTGGGAGAGACAGGGAGTTAGGACTGACTAAACAATTTGTAGCTGCAAACTAGTTCAGAGGATACAAGACCCAGCAAAAGCTTTACAATTAAATATTAGCTACATATCTGTGCTTTGGTGAGGATGGGGAGAGTTTTGCATTGTTGAAAGCATGTGGAAGAAAACAGGGGAACATGGAAACTGCCCTACAAGACTGAAACTATTGCAAGTGTGTTGGTAGTTTTCCTTCAGAAAATGTGTACTTTATTCATAGTTTTGTGTATTATCTGAGTGTTCTTTCTGTTCATACAAACATCTAATCTGTATTTGTATCCTGTTCTTTTCTAGTAATAAAATGGAAGATTCCTGTTAACTTTGTGGCTTTCAAAACTGGAGCTTAATGAAAGGAGGAAATAAAATTAACAAACAATAAATAGCAAATATTTTTCTAAGATACTTAAGTCGCTTTGGGTTGATAGTGATACTGATTTAAGCTCAAATACTTCTGGCAGTAGAAATTTTTCTGATTGTTCTCTTAAAGAAATACCAGTACATGAATCTTTCGGTAACTGGACAAAAATATGGTTGAAATTAAATAATTTCCTTTTCCTGAAATGCCACCTTGGACCTGGCAAACAGTATAACGAGCAGTTGTGTAGTAGGCATTTTTGGTCTAATGTTTGGGTGGAATCCATGTTCTTAGCATTAAAGTAACCTTCAGAGAAAACCACATTATCTTTTTCATGTAACTTTTAGTGCATTGGATTTGTTGTTTTATCATGATTTTATCTAATATTTTCAGGATTTTAATTAAAAATTAGTGAAGACTTAAGTAACATCTGAAAACCAAACCCAACCAAACAAAAATCCAACTTGCATCTATGTGACACTTAAGTCCTCTCTTGTTTTTTAAATAAAAAACTGTAAAGGCTTATATATTTTCTTATGCAACGTGGGGAAAATTGCATGTAAGTGAAAAGCTTGCTGTTCAGGCTTATTCTGTGTTGTCTCCAAAAGCAGGAACTGTCAGAAAAAAAAACAACCTATTTTTTTTCCTAAATATTCTGAGTTGTATAATTAAGCCACAGGTTTTTATTCAAGCCTTTTGAATTTTCATCTTAATATTTTAATTTTGAAGCAAATAACTTGCTGCAAGTGGAATTTCACTGGCAGAGCATGCTGATGAGTGCGATTGATGCTTGTAGCTTAACGTAATACCTACCTTGAAACTTTTAGTTATTCTCAATATTTTAAATAGAGTTTTGGTATTCTTGTCATTTATCCATAGCGTACTCTCTTCTACCACATCTCTTCATAAACCGATGTCCTGTGTAAGGACTCATGTGTGCTTTATGTCGTATTTTATAAAGCAGAGACCCTTTTTCCTGGAGTTGTTAGTACTTAGCATTGGCTTAGGGACCATTATATACGTACCACCTTTTTTTTCTATATGCACGCTTTCCCGGATAATGGAGGTTTTCTCATTTTAACAGGAATTCAACAGAATTTTCTCTAATTGCTCTTGGTAGCCAGTTAAAATCCCATAGCTGTTTGTTATAAATCCATGACCAGATGGTGGTTCTAGTAAGTTCTGTAGTCTCTGGTCTTGTTCTTTATCTAAAAATCAAAGCAGATTATCAAGATGATGCATTGGACGGGGCTTCTGCATCCCAATCTGTTGTCCTTTATTATTGCAAAATGTTGGAAAAAACGTTGAAAACTCAGTGCATATGCCCCTTAAGATGAGAGATTGTTGTGTCAAGATGGAAAAGTGAGCACTACTTCAGCCTGAGGTAGTAGTGTAGCACTCTTGCTCCTTGCAGAGTTTACATTTGGAATCTTCTGGGATGGTACCATGTGATGTTCCTTAGTGTGGGACAAAGATGTCTTTAGAAAAGATACTCAAAGATGCCCATAATGGCAGGAAAGCATTTGCAGTAGAAGTTTGGGAATTTAAAACTTTCTTACCAAGAAACAAAATGCCTTTTTTAGAAACTTTTAGACAAGATCAGGTAGAAGTCATGGAAAAGATGTTGGAGTGTGCAGTGGTGCATGGAAAGTATGACAGCTAGACTGCTAGTACCTTTCTCTTTCAAGTTACTGCCATGTAGGTTACTTTTAGTTGATTTTACTTCTGTTGCATGAAATGGTCCACAGACATCGTCTGTAAGCTGTGTATTAGGACATTAAAACCAGAAAATTTGTTGGTTCTGCAGAACCTGGTTAGATAAATGCATTGCTTTGTCTTTAGAGTGTACTTGGCACAGAGTGCTGTGTTAATTTCAAGCAGAGTGTCATTTGTTCCTGGAAATAAAAGTGGTACGTGAATAAACAAGAGATTGTAAAACATCTAGATGCTTCCTAAATACGTAAAACTTCCTGACTTTGTCTTAATATTTTCAACAGGATTGATCGTAAGATGTCAAGTGCTCATACAAATTATAGACTGGATGAAGCCCAAGCTATAATGAGTGAGCTTCGAACCATAAAGAAAGCTATATGCACAGGTGAAAAAGAAAGGCAGGACCTTATGCAGGTAAGAACTACATAAATAGCTGCTAAAAATAATAAGCTGCCTCTATTTTGTTGTTCATCATTCCATTAGTGTTACCAAGTTTAAATAAGCAAGTGAGGTGGCCTAAACTGATTTTTCTGTTTGATAATTACCAGTAGCAGGCAGCTCTAAAGAGGTCAGTAGTCATTGCCTATACTGTGAACAGAAGACTTCAAAAGCAGTCTTATTTTCTTGTCTCAGATACCATAATATCCTTATATTTAGATCAATATCTTTTGTTAAATACAGCTTTCTGTTGCTGCTGATTGCATCAAAGGCTGATATGGAGTAATTATGCTGCATTAGAAAAAATACCTTACAGTTTTACAGTATTTGTTTTTCATTCTGTGTAGTGTCTCTTTATATTATCTATAATGAAGTAGGACTAACAATTCATGTGCTACAATGTTTACCAGCTTGTCTGCCACATTTTGAGTTTTACGAGCATTTCACAAAATTAGATCTCTGTCACTATGCCACAGTTTAGCAGTTTTCCTGCTTTTGCCCTGAGCATTCCTCTTAAGCACCCATATCAAGATATATGTGGATTTAAAATGTTCTCACAAAACCCTCAAAAGGAATGCTTAAACACAACATCTACAGAAACCATAAATGCAAGCTTTGAATTATTTCATGAAGTGGAGCCCAGGGAGCAAGGGAAGATACATGCCCAGGAAGTGATGTAACTTCTGAATGGATTCTTCACCCTGCTTCAAGCTTTCAGTTGCTGTGTCTGTGTTACTAATGTGATGGGAGCTTGATCAAAGGGCGACAAGCCTCTGCCACTTCAGGGACTTCAGTGTAGACTTACCGAAATATGCTGCAGATAGAGAGGTGTGACAGGAACAATTCATCCACTCTTCAAACTACTATATGGTAAAAGTCATCTTTGTTACCTAAATTTTAGGGACCACACTAAATTAATATTGCCATTCAAATTTTTTCTTCAGTTTTTCTCCACAGTAGTGTTCTGGTGTTGGGTTTTTTATTATTTTATTATTGTTAAATGATACGGGTACTATGTAATTTACATATAATAAAAATGTGTAACATCCATAGTTACACAATTACGCAGTCTCCAAATCATTACCCAAAGGTCAGCTGATGGACCACAAATCCTTGTTCAAGTAGAAAGAATACTTAATTCACTTTGAAAAGTTTCTGCATTGACATCTTTTAACATATTTGGTATTTTGTGTTGGCAACATTTTAAAGCAATTCTTGGTCTTCCATGTGCCTGGCTAGCAAGAAATGATTTAGAAAGGCAGATCTTCATGGATGCATTAACACACCTTTTAGCAAAGTAACTAGTAATTTGAAAACGAGCATGTGATCTTGGAGCAGATTAACTACTCACTTTGTTTTGACACCCCTAGTAGATTTACACCCCCCGCCCCTTCCCCCTTTTCCTTACATTTAAATTCTTCTGTGGCACTAAATAGAGCTGTAAACTTTGAGACGCCTTGAAGTCACGTGTTAAACTACCACTAAGCGCACTTGCAGTTTCTTTAAATACAGTATTGAAGAACGTAGAAATCTAGGACCAAACTTTGCACCAAGAATTGGGCAATGCTGGCAGCACCAGAATGTAGAGATTGCAAGAGACAGAAGCAGATGAAGTTCCGGACGACTGGAAAAAGGGAAATACAACCCCCATTTTCAAGAAGGGGAAAATGGATGCCCCAGGGAATTGCAGACCAGTCAGTCTCATCTCTGTGCCTGTCATAATCTTGGAGCAGATTCTCCTGGAAGGCATGCTAAAGCACATGAAAATCAACCAGGTGCTTGGTGACAGCCAGCATGGCTTCACTAAGGGGAAATCCTGCCTGACCAGTTTGGTGGTCTTCTGTGATGGGGCTAGAACTGATGGACAAGGGTAGAGCAGTTGATATCATCTACCTGGATTTGTGTAAAGCATTTGACACTGTCCCACACGACATCCTTGTCTCTAAATTGGAGAGACATCAGTTTGATAGGTGGACCACTCCCTGGACAAAGAACTGGCTGGATGGCTGCACACAAAAAGTTGTGGTCAACGAATGGCTCAGTGTCCAGCTGGAGACCAGTAAGGAGTGGTGTCCCTCAGGGATCAGTGTTGGGACCGGTCTTGTTCAACATCTTTGTTGGTGACATGGACAGTGGGATTAAGTGTGCCCTCAGCAGTTTGCCAGTGACACCAAGCTGTGTGGTTTGGTTGATACGCTGGAGGGAAGGAATGCCATCCAGAGGGACCTTGACACGCTTGTGAGGTGGGCTGATGCCAACCTCATGAAGTTTAACCATGCCAAAGCAAGGTTTTGCACCTGGGTTGGATCAATCCCAGACACAGCTACAGGCTGGGCAGAGAAGAGATTCAGAGCAGCCCTGCAGAGAAGGATTTGGGGGTGTTGGTCGATGAGAAAATGAACATGAGCCAGCAGTGTGCGCTTGCATCCCAGAAAGCCAACCGTATCCTGGGCTGCATCAAAAGGAGTGTGACCAGCACATGGAAGGGTGTGATCCTGCCCCTCTCCTCTGCTCTCGTGAGACCTCACTTGGGGTATTGTGTGCAGTTCTGGTGTCCTCAACATAAAAAGGACATGGAACTGTTGGAACAAGTCCAGAGGAGGGCTACGAGGATGATCAGGGGGCTGGAGCACCTCCCATATGAAGATAGGCTGAGAAAGTTGGGGCTGTTCAGCCTGGAGAAGAGAAGGCTGCGTGGAGACCTCATAGCAGCCTTCCAGTATCTGAAGGGGGCCTATAGGGATGCTGGGGAGGGACTCTTCATTAGGGACTGTAGTGATAGGACAAGGGGTAATGGGTTAAAACTTAAACAGGGGAAGTTTAGATTGGATATAAGGAGGAAATTCTTTCCTGTTAGGGTGTTGAGGCACTGGAACGAGTTGCCCAGCGAGGCTGTGAATGTTCCATCCCTGTTGGTGTTCAGGGCCAGGTTGGACGAAGCCTTGGGTGTCATGTTTTAGTGTGAGGTGTCCCTGCCCATGGCAGGGGGGTTGGAACTAGATGATATTAATGTCCTTTCCAACCCTAACTATTCTGTGATGCTATAAGCAAAAATGAGAGGTGTTGGCAATTGTTCCTTATGGATCTGCGTGGCGTACAGGAAATACCAATCTAGGGTATGGCCTTTTTGTAATTGATGACACTCAGTTGTGATAGCATCCGGTAATAAACATACAGTCCAGGAGAATCTAGAATATAGTTGTTCCACACAGGCCTAGCTTGCAAAACAGTTCTGCATGTTTTGTTGTAATTGTAATAAGGGATTAAATGCCATATTTAATAGTTCACAAGATTTGCAGTTGTAAAAAATGTGTATTTCTGCCAACTTACTGTGCTCTGGAAAAATAGGCAGCTTTTTGCCTGACAGTTTTTAAATTTTTGACCAAAATACTGATTTTGTTATCACCAAACTTTTCTGGGCTTTTTGTTTTTATTATTAATTGAAGATTATTGTTACAGGTTTATTTAGCTTTGTCAAATAAGTGCAAGTCTATTTTAAGTATCTTCCTAATAAGATCAGAATTTGATTTTTAATCTCCTATCAATTTTGAAATTGTTTTGCCCTCAGAAATGCTACACTTTAAAGCTATTGTTGGTAAGACAAGCTCTCTTAGGAGAACCTTTTCGTTTTGAAAGCTGTTTATAGTGGAGTTAGAAGTATTGTGTAAACAGATGGGGATTTATTTCTGAGAAAGGAAACTGACAACTTCTTACTATTTCTTAATTTAAATTTGGCCAGTATGAGCAACAGAACTAAACATAGTGAAAGTGACTCAGTCTTGTGTAGGTGCTTGGAAAATTGTAGCTGTCAGAGAAATATGATAATTGGATTGAGTTGTGTGGGAGAGAAGACTGACGAGGGAAGGAGAGGGTGGGCAAACTGGGTGCTGTAGTTACAAATAAAGCCAAGTGGCAGTATCACTGCTCAAAAAAAGTACTCAAACTTTCTATGCAAAGTTGAATAATCAAGTTGCATGTTCAGGTTCCTAAAAGCAGCATGTGTGTGTCTCTTCCCCTCCTTCCCTCCCTTACTCCCCCAAATCCTTTTCACACTTTTGTTTCTGTTCCAATATGTACATACGCTTTTAAAAACTTGTCTTTTATCCTTAGTAAGCACTGGAGGTTTTTTGTGGTTTTGTTTGTTTTTTAAAAAACCTTTTCTTTATTAGTTAAACAGGCTAAGTAGGTTATGTGGGAACTGCACTGAAATTGTATGTCGCAGAGAGCTCCCAAATCAGGTAGTAACAGACAATGATGAAATGGCAGTGCTCATTTTCCTGTTTCTGAGTAGGTCTGGGCTGGTGTGCCTAGAACTTTACATCCATACAATAGGCTGGTTTGGCAGTTTCTGTGGGATTGCCATAAATAATCCATAAGCCCCAGATGACAGATGGATTCCTCCATATAACTGGGGAGGATATTACTCCTAGCAGTAATGTAAATTGTTTCTATCTGAAAGTATGTGAACTAAGGTTGTAATTTTCCATGTTAGGATTGCTGGAGGCTGTGCTTTCACTCATCCAAGCAGAAGAACTCAAAATGTATGTGCTTACTCTAGAGCATAGTCACTTATGCACGTAGTTGCAAGTTAAGGTAATGCTACTTGGTGATTGCCACCTGTCAAACACTGTGTAATTTTAAAGTAGTTAAATCCAGGGTTCAGCAACTGTGCCCAGATAGGAAGCCTGGCCAGCAGCCAAACAGCCCTTCATTATCTGACAAGGAGATGCTGAAAGCATCAGGAGCACACCAAGAGTGTGTGAAGTAGCTGAAATACAGGCAGAAGTTTCGACTGAAGTTCTGGCATCAGGACCTTTGGTGTTTCATATGCCTGTAGCATAGTATGCATTCTCAGTTTTTGTTCTTGTTTTTTTAGGCTCTGCTTTTACTGGGTAAAAGAGGAGATATTTGATGTTTGTGTAGCTATGATTTGAAACTATTTTTTCTATGTTACAAACCTGTTAGTGATGCATAGAATCATATAACAGAATCGTAGCATAGCTTGGGTTGGAGGGGACCTTAAAGATCATCTAGTTTTGACACTGCCAGGGATGGGCATTTGCAGCTTCCCTGGGCCAACCTGTGCCAGTGTCTCACCACCTTCATAAAAATTTATTCGGTGAGTTTTGAAGAAGGGAGTTAAGCAGGAGTCTGCAGTTCTTAATTTTCATAATGTGGAAGGCACTCCGGTTTTCTTTTTGCCATGTCACGGAGCAGTTCTTTTTGCAGCAAGTCTTGGAGGATAAAGGGACACTAGCCAGAGACTTCTTGACAATATAATTTGAAATAGCTGTCTCAGGACTGAGAAGGAACTATTTTGTTTGTCCTTCATACTAAGATGGTACAGTTCAGTTGGGAGCTGGCAGAAGAATTGGCTTTTTTGGGGGGACCCAAGACAAATTGAGGCTCTGGAGGCATGTAGTGGCAGCCTTGTCCCACTGCTGGCATGTCTGGCATGTCCTCTGTCACTGCTAGTGCTGAGCACAAAATCCCAGCCCTGCTCAGACCTTGTAGTACCATCACACAGAGTATAAGGACGGAGCAGCACATGATGTCTGGCATGTGGCATTGTACCTATGTCTCTCTCTGCCTTTCCCTTTTGTTCATCCGGCACCAGGCTGGATATTCTCCTTTTTCATCATTAGTGGAGGCAGGCCTGAAGGAGCAACTGGTATATAACGAGAACAAAGCGATGGACTGCGTAGGACAGAAATGGAGGCTACCAGAAAAAGCTGCTTTTTCTGACTAGTTTCAGGCCTGCTGCAATTCTTAGGGATGCTGCTTAGGCTCCAAAACCAGATGCCTCTGTCTTCAAGGTGGCCATGCTGTTCCTCTGAGCTACAAACAATTGCTGTTACACAAATTTGTCTTCTTGGCTCCATTAGTTTGATTTGTTATAAGAAAAGACATCATTGATGTCTTATATTTTTTGAACTGCACTTCGAACACTGAGAAATCTCCTGGTAATTGGATATGGACAGTAACTGGGGCTTCTTGCAAATCACCAGTTGTCAGAGCCACTGAGGTTCCTGAGGGTCAGCCTTTTTCCAGTGCAGTGCAGGATTGTCTCAGATTCTCTTGCTTACTGGAGTAAGCAGTTTTGAGAATTTTTACATGTATTTTTATAAACAAATGGTTTATGTTATGATTTATAAATTGAAACACAAGTTCACATAATTTGATTGTCCTTTATCTGCTGGTGAGGGGCCAGAATTTAATTTTTTTAATTAGAAAAAAAATAAATTGTTTTGAAGCATAATGGTTATAAACAGCAGCCTGCACGGTGGTTTTGTTATTGTTACTCTCCATTTTGAAAAAGAGAAGAATGTACAATCATAAAATAAAAGTGATATTAACTATTTTACCCTTTTTTAAAGGAATATTACCAGCCTGTCGGCTAAGCTTGTATCATCAAACTGTTGTTGCTTTGTGTGATTATGTCTTACCCCCGTCCCCCTTAAAGACTGCTTGAGGTTTCTACCCTCACAGTTTGTGTCATTAGGCATCTTGGAGCTGTCCCTTGCATAACCCAAAGTGTAAAATATCTCGTAATTATGTGAACCTTGGATGAGAGAGTACAAAGGTGAAATCATCTGTCATAAAAATACAATCAATACCAGGTATTCATCAAATTGGATATGATGGCAGTAGTGGCTAAGGAATGTAACCTGTACACAAGATGGCAAAAGGGCAGATGAATCGCATTTATCTTCCTTATCAGCTAACCTGAAAGCTGACAGCTGCCAGATTTAAAGAACTATAAGACATACAAAAGCTGAAATGGTTACAGATCTAAAAGAAATAACTTAAAATCTGGTCACTGTTAGATGCATCTTTTAAAATGAGAGGCTTATTTCAAAGCAAAGCTTCTACGTGTTAGTAACAGTACAATAAGTTTTACTTCGTGTAAATAACTCTGATGGACAAGCTACCTGTCATATTCTAAAATAGGTTGGTTGGTTGTTTTTTTTTTTTTTCCTCTGTTAATAAAAGAATTATAAAAATCAGTTCATCTATTTTTTTAATATTTTTTTTTTCTTTTTAAATCTCTTCTCCTGTAGAGCCTGGCCAAGTTAACAGATGGATTCAGGAATAGCTGTTGTATTACGGATTCCCTGCAGGATCTCCAGCACAATTCTGGTTCTCTCAGTGACTCCTGTTTACCTCAGCAACACTGCGATGCTTGTTCCCAGACTGACATCACTGGAGAGGTATGCATTCCTATGCGAGACATTTGCTGTAGAAAAGAAGTTGCTTTTGTACTATAGTGATACGTTGTTGCTTCCTGTTTTGTTTTAAGAGGTGTTGGCTGTACCAGAACAAAAAATCCAAAGCAGTATTATCGGTGAGGGAGTTCTGTTTGCTGTTGTTCACAAAGCATGTGAGTGGCACCCTGAGTGGTGGTGGGCTTTGTGGTTCTGCTACTTGAGCATGGCACCAAGGCGTAGCGATGTGCTTGCAGGTAGTGAGAGGTAGAATCGGCTTCCGGACTCAGCCAGCCCAGCGGAGCACTTCTCATGTATTCACTTTCTTTGGTGACCTCAGGTTCATCTCTGAAGTAATAGCTCTTGCTGAGGTGTCCACTGACCTCTTCCTTTCATATCACTAGCTCTGACCTACTGATACGTGTAATGATGCAGGCAAGAAGGAAGTGCTTTAGCCAGCTTGAAGTTCAGACATGGTTGTGCAACAGTGTGAGATGTTAGTATTCTGGTAGTAGTGATAGCTGTTTTTTGGTGCTCTTCATTTGATTTTTAAAATCTTGATTTTATCATGCTTGTCATCTTTCTGTACATCAAAGATGTAAGGTAGACCTATGATCCTTTTCTCTGAGACAAGAGAAGTATTGGTTAGAGTCTCGAAGTATTTTTATTAAAAACTAACAAAAATTCTCATCTGTCATATGTTTATGCTCAAATATGCCATTAAATATAGTATTTGAGAGGAACATATTAGTATTCCCTGGAAGTAGTTCTGTGTGAACAAAATTATATATTTCAGATAATAAAAATTTGCCTTGCACTGGTCCTATGGCAGCCTAGCTGTTCTTCATCAATAAAAATCTTGCTTCTCTAGATGACATTAAAAACAAAGCAAGAAGACAGACAACCGGTTTGTAGTTTGTTGGTACTATAGGTTGGATGTTACTCCACATTTAGTTAGAATTTGCTGTTGAACTATGTAACTTCTTAATTGGAGGCTTTTTATCATCCCATTTCTCTTCTTTCACTTGCTGACTAGTTGCCAAGTTGGGTATCTCCAGAGGGCCTCTGCAAAAAGGAAATCTTGTGTTTTTAAGAATATATACTCCTAAAGCATCTATGAAAATTCAGCTAACACTAGGCCATCTTTCAGTGTGTTAGGTAGATAGTACCTTTGGGATGTCATTTTTCAACTGCTGGTGGATGTGATTATTGAATTCCAAAACCAAAAGGAGCATAGCAGCATTTTCTTATTCATAGTACATATTGAATGCCATCCAAGACAAGTCAAGTGTAGTCTGAAAATTGTGTTTATTAGGCATAGTTTTTTTTTGTCAGGAAGATAACATGAAGCAATCACGTTAATGGTTTCTCTGAATTATCAGTAGTGGAATATGAGAAAAAAAAGAGGTGGATTTTTTTCAAATGTGATGAAGATAACAAAAGCAGCGGTTAGATGAGAAATCCAGAGGTACAGCAATGCAGTTAAGTAGGGACTTGGGATTAACCTATTGGACCATAACAGACTTCTGAAGAGGGGAACTGCTGATGCTCTAAGAAGGAAAGAAGTTGCTGTACAAACTGGACTGAATACAGTAGCAGTTTTGGTATAAATGCGTGTTCTACAACTGGTTCAGGTGATGTTTTTGTAATAGTGTTTAAAACGCACTAATGACTACCATCAGTGGTCCACCTTGGCCTCCAATCGGGAGACTTGGAGGCACACCATACATAATGCCGCTGACTCCTTTGAGAGCTCACGAAGAACTAGTCTCGAGGAGAAAAGACAATGCAGGAAGAATCGTGTCCCACCTGTTCCACCCAAGGAGACCTTCTGCTGTGCTTTTTGTAGCCGGATTTGCCTATCCCACATTGGCCTTCTTAGTCACCAGCGCGCTTGTAGTAAGCGTGGGTAAATGCCCTTCCCAAATCTTCGTTCGCGAAGTCAAGCCATGATCTAAGTGCTGGGTAACACATCACAGTACAGGGAAAGTTAATCTGAATTACTTCTAATTAAAGTCCATGAAATAGTTGTATCAAGTAATACTCTTTTTATTTTAGGCTCAGATAAAGTTGAAAAGCTTGGACCATTCATTAATGATTCAGCTTGCTAGCCCTTGATTTCTGGGATTGTAATTTATTGAAAGGTCACATTTATCTTATGTATGTTCAGCAATAAACTAGTTTTGTATTTCTAAAGCATAAAATTGATTTTTATTATGTTATTACTTAAACCATTGGGGTTTTTTTTGGTGAGTCCAGTGAGTTAGACTTAATTTATACCTTTCTTTATTGTGAGAGTGTTTTTAAATTCTTGTTTCTTCCTCTCTTTTTCCCCCCTCTCTTTGTGCTTCAAATCTGCAAAAGTTTGGATTTGATGACAAAACAAGACTTGTAGACAGAGTAAGACTGAACTGGCAGTATGAAGAGGCCAAGAAAAGGTAATTAAAGATAAATTTGTTGGTTTTCATTTTTACTCTTTGTGATTTAAAATTTTCAAAGTAGAATTGGAACCAGCCTCCTAGCTGAAATGTCCTTAAGAAGACTAATTTGCTTGCAGTTGAGTGGTTCACTGATAATAAAAGCTTAGATAAACATAAGCCTTTATCATAAGATTATTAAATTTGTTTGCAGAGATAAAGCTAAATGTCAACCCCATTCTACACTTGTATAAACAAAATTGCAGTAGTTTAATTGAACTATTTTACATTTTCCTCCTCTTCTTAAACCTCAGTGTAAACAGTTTTAAAATTTACATATATCAGCCTGGTCTGTCAGTACATATGAAGCTTTGCATACCTGTGTTCTAAGTTCAGTTTACTGAAGCTGTGAACTCAGTGTAGAGAAAATGCAGAACCTCTTGTGAGATAAATGAAGATACTCAGAGCTGAACAGAAGGGTACACAAAAAAATAATAAATTATGAGAATGAAAAAGAACCTGATCAAAAAATATTACTTGAATTAGATTAATTACTCACTTGAATCTAATTGCTTATGCTAAGTATTTCTTTTGTTGATGTCAGTCTTGCAGTGTTTTTTAATGGCTTCGTAAAAGCCATTTGTTCTTATTTAGTAGTGTAGGTATAGCTGATGACTTGAACGCAGTAATTCTGTGCATTTACGATTATTTTAATTTGTGCTGATAGAACATTCTCGTATTAAAATTGCCCAACACTTAAACATTATGTATGGTCAACTTCGAAAACCTTTGGTTTTAATTTTTTTTTTTCCCTTTCAACTTTATCTATTTTGCCATCTTTTTATGTCACATAACAAGGGTTAAAAAATTTCTAAACTTTTGCCTCCTTTTTTTCATGTTACGGTTTTTTCTTTGGGGGATATCATAATGCTGTCATATGGCTTGGCAGGGAGTGAAAGCTTTATAGGCAATTCACTATTTTGTTGTTCCTGGAAAATGTACTCACATTTGGATGCAATACAGGCTTAACAAAAAAAAAAAAAAAGGAAAGAAAAAAAAAACAACATTAAATCGATGCAAGCATGTTAGAGATACCCAGCTAAATTGTCAGGATTTGTAACTGGACTGAAAGTCTGTGTTGTTAAAAACTGCATGTGAATACCAGTGACTGTTAGCTAGTAAAGGTTAAATAATCGGGCAAAAAAAGGGCAAAACAAAAATCTGTCATTGTCCTGTTTGGACACAGGCATGATGCTTAGCACTTCATAGCCCAGTGACAATTTAGGGGTTCATGATAGTTGTTGAAGGAAGAAGGATAGCATTTATTTTTATGCTTTTTAGTTTAAGAGAGCTACTGGTGCTGTAAAGATTGTATTACGTGGTTTTAGTTTTGTTTTCTGACATAATTTTTCTTTGTGTTTTTCAAAGCAATTCTCCTCTCTTGTGTTATTGCAGGGAAAAGATGGAGTGGTGGGGCTTTTGTGGGGGGGTGTGGTTGGTTTTCTGAGAGGTGGGTTTCTAGTAGCAGCATTTCTTAGCTGGGAATTCTGAACATTTGTTTGTACATGGAATGCAGTATTTTTGAACATCAGAAGTGAGCTGGGATTTGATGTTAATTAGGTGTAGAAAATCTGGGTAACTAACCTTCCAACTAGAGAATAGTAATTGCAGTAAGGGTAGCTTTGCTGTCCCAGGATAACAGCTTTGACAATGGTTTGTTATTTAACAAAAGCATGTTAGTTGCTTTAAAATGGTAGCCTTATTCTGCCCAGTATGTTGTACGGAAGTAATCAGCTTTCAGCTTATGAGTGGAACTGCACAAAGCTCATTGCTCCTACCAGTTATCTCTGTGGTTGCATTCTTCATTTATCATGCATTCCTTCCCCTTAGCTTGCTGGCATTTCTGTAGGGCTTTTGTCTCTACTAAATATCTTTGTGTTCGTTCTCCCTTGGCTGGTGAAATATCTACTGTTACTGCACAGTGTGGGTGACAGAATGTGCTGTGATGGATTAAAATCTACACAGTAGAAAATTAAAATGCTACAGTAAGTCGTAACTGTAAAGCAGTATATTAGGACTACTTGCTCGTCAAATTGGGGTATGGAAACATATAGCGAATAAGTACAACAGACAAACTGTCTTATTTCTAAGTTTTAATGGGAGACTTCTAAAATACACTGTAGGAGAAAAGTACGTCCTTTTACTTTAAAGGAAAGAAGGAAAAAAGCCCCTCAAAATAAAGGGCAGTGTGTTGTATTTTAGTCACTCTTGTGCATCTAACCAAATGATCATACAGCTCTAGATACGAGCAGAATATTTGATGTATGTAGTAAAGAAGTTCTTAAAAATAAAAGTATGCTCTCTGTATATGGAGTGTGACCAAGAAAATGCAGTGTTGGGATTTTTGAATGATCTCGAGGAATTCAGGAGATGAGACCCAGGGATAGTAGGAAAGTTGGCTTATGATCCCAAAATCTTTCTCCTCCCTCATAAAAGATAATTTGATTTTAATCCTCCTTCAAAAATCTCTTAACTGCTGAGTGGTTTGGCTTTTGCATAAATTGAGATGTTCGCATAGCTATTTCCCCCCCCTCCCCCTTCAGTTTCCCACTGGAAGGAAGTTGGATAATTTGCAATTTAATTTTTCCCGTGGGTATTTCAGATGTTGTGAGCTGTGGGTTCTGACATCTTCAGCATGCTGGGGAAGATCATGTCCTTTCTCCTGTGTCTTCTGTGTCAGGCTCTGGGAGGAGGCACATCGATTCTGCTATTTAACTCAACAGTCATGCTGCTGAGAGGCTCAGTCACTTTTCTTCTGTTCTTTACTCCTCTCTTCCCCTCCCTGCCCCCATTATTTTTAAATAAACTGTACCTTATTTCCATGAAATTTCTCCTCTCAGATCTGTCAGTGTGGCCCTCCAGAGAAGCAAGAGGGAGGGAGGACGGTCTTTTTGAGCAGCCCCAAGCTGCCTGGATAAATAGCGGTTTTAGTTTCAGTTGCTATTTCAGTGAGACCACCTCTCATGAAAGCATTTGCACACTGGAAAGTGTACCCCTCCAGCACTTTTCTGAATAGACTGTTTCATAGAAAGAGAAGTCAAAGGCAAATTGTTTTTGTTTGATAACACTTAAGTTGTGCAGTTCAGTATGACTACGTGAAGTATATTAGCAAATGATCCAGAAATGTCATTTCTGTGCTGACTCATATCCTGTGAAGTATATTAATCAATAGATGAAAAATGATCCCTCCAAAAAGAAGCACCTACTTTTTAAACTGTGATTATGTTATGTTATTTGCTAGTCTGACAGTAGCTGACTTCAGTGAACTAATATCCATGCATCTTCAACCAGCTTATCTAATTTGGGTGCTGAAGCGGTAATTTATATATGCCTTCTGTAAATCTCAATTCAAACATACTATTTTTCAGTTCAATTTTTGAAATCATCCAGTGGCCATCAACAAATTTATTTTAGCCTTGGAAAAGCTTCCTCCTCAGCTATGCTTAATGTTTCTGCATCCCCTTTAAGACTGTTACTTTTTTCTTTTTGGTATAATTGCTGAATATTTGTTGCAAATTTGCTGTCTGATTGTCAAAATTCATTTTCAGTTGGGCTTTAAAAGCCGCAGCACAAGCAGAAGTGTGGGAGTGCAGTTTGTGCTTGTACTGACAAAATACACCTTGGTTGGCTATTGATAGCAACATAGTCAAGTATTTTCCTGTTAAAGTTCATCTACTGTAGGCAGATTTCAAGGTGTAATTGCCTAATTTCTAGTGCTTTATTTTACTCAACTAATCTGAAAATCTGATTTAGGAATGAAGCAATTTGTCTGATATCACATAAATATCTGGCTCAGGCATGTCAGCTAAACCTAAATCTCCCAGTGTCAGTTTTAAGCATAAAAAACTTTCTCTTTGGGCTATAAACGGAGCTGAGCCATGCTCTTGAACTCTCTTTAAAGTTTGTGTTATACCAGTTTACCTGGGAATTGGGGCAAATATTAATTTCTCTCTTCCATCGGTTTTAGCAGGCTTTGCAATTTTCCTGAAGGTGAATACCAAATTTTATCTGAAGAATGCCAGTGGGCTCTAAGGGTTTCATGAGTGTCTTAGGCCAATTTAAGACCTCCTTCTTACTGAATTGGGCTGCCAAGAAGGCTAGATATTCTACAGAATGTACTCGCGTTGTCTGCCAAAGCCACAGTGGCACATACGTGCAGGCACAGCCAAAGTAGACACAGTGAAGAATTTTGTGAGCATTTGGCTGAGTTCCCCAGTTTCTTGTTCTTTCCATTTCTTTGTTCCCCTTTCTCTAGCCTTCCCCTCTTTGGATATAAATCATAATTCACTTTCAAGAAGGTCTACAAATACCAGAAGTCACTGAGTCCTTACACCCTTCATTAAGTGTCTTCAGTACCGCAGCCACCTTCTCTGGGTATTGCACGTGGGCTAAGCTCCCTGGTACCTGCAGTGGCAGAGAACTTGCTCCAATTACAAGCCTATTATAAGCCTAAGGAAAGGAGTAAGCTTGGGCTGACTTTTGTTGATCATATCTGCATATTTGTATGATTTGGCCACTGTTCTCCTCCAGATTATAACTGTATTTTCATTGTATCTTCACCAGTCTTCCGTTTTGTTTCAGGTAACAAAGGCCTGAGCTATAATCTGGTATGTCATCCAAAAATCTAGGCATTTACATGCAGGGTATTACTGTGTTGGGCTTTTTTCCTCAGAAAGCTCAAACAAAGTAAGTTGGAAGAGCTTGTTAAAGCTAGAAAGACCAGAAATTGTAGGTTACGAAGTGCCAGCTGTAGGATACTCAAAATTTGTCCCTTGAGCATGAATTAGGACTTCAGTATTGCTTTGGAGTATTTTTGTCCTCAGGACACCTGTCGAGCTCATAATCTGAGTAATGGTCTAAATATGGTGTTAATTGTAAATCAAACATCTTCCATCTCACAAAAAGTGATTTTTATTTTAATCTCACTTCTCATGCTGTTTTAATAAATAACCTCTTTAAAACAGAAGTGTTTTCGAGCTTAGCAGTATAATTTTGTTTTGTCTGTGTTAGATACATAGCAATTCAGATATGCTGTAAATTCTGCAAATACAAGCCTTTTTTACCCCCATTGTGTAGTTCGTGTAGTAAACTACTGGCTGTACTGATCTCTACCCTCATACTATGTCTGCATTATCCTGGGCTAGGCGTCATTCTAGCTACATTAGCATGGGCATTTCAGAGCATGTTTGACAGTTCAAATCCAAGTTTACTTAAGATCCCCAGGTTAAGACTTTGTCATCCCAGCTGTGGCCCTCCTGCTTTTCTGCTTAACAGGGCCTGTTACATTCATCTCCATTTTAAATTTTTTAATACTGAAATAAGCAGCAAGTTGGTCTGCCTACCTAGGAAACCAGCCATTTGATACCACCTACTTGAGCATGGAATGCAAGCTCCTCAGCACTTGTTATGCAAGGATGGGAATGGGCAAAATGCCTGGAATGTCGATAGCTCAAAATTAACTGTTTTTTCCCCACTAGGGACTAGGCACCTCAGGATCTGGCATTAGGCCAGATAAAATTACCCTTTTACATTGACTACACTTAAAAAGTACTATCTTAAAAAATACTCAAAAGGAAGGAAAAATGTATTTTAAAATCAGAGGCTTGTTAAAGCATCTTAATTGGTTTGTTTGTTGTTTTTTTTTTTAAATTGCAGTCAGTGCCAAGTCATTGATTTATCTGAGTGTTTAAGGTAGGTGAATATATGCACTGAGTCTGAAAACGCAAAAGAAATACTTTTTTTTATAATATACTGACAGTGAGAATGTCTGGTGTGGTTTAGGTACAAAATCTGGCATGGATAAGCACAGTGAAATTGCCCCTCCCCCCCCTTTTTTAAATCCATTTATTGTGATTGGGAAGAAAAAGCTTGTGTTAGGAAAAGACAAATGCAGTTATGGAATATGCTTAAGAAGATTTATTATGTTTTTAGCAGAACTGAATATATCTCCTCAGATACTTTTCGTACGTTTGAGTGAGTGAGACCATAAAAGTCTTAGGCATGTTTTCTAGCCATGGAGATAAATTTTAAAATGTTTATCACTGGTAGCTTTTGGGAACAGTTTACCGTACAGAGGGAGTCTTCAGTGGAAAGCAAGCAACAAAATTCCCCCAAAACTTAGTTTCATTTGCAGGACATACAGGCTGCAGAAAACTTGGCTTATTGGTGCTGAAGTTCCCTTCCTAGCAGATTCCTGTATTATCTGGTGGTTAGCAGTGTCTTTTTCTTTTCTTACAGGAAAAATACAGAGACACGAAGAACTAGCTGAAATGCTGAGTTTCAGGGGAATCCACAGCAGTACTTTTCCCTTTAATGAAGTATAACTAAGTTACTGTACGACGACTTCTTATTTTCAAAGCATCATCATAATAGGAATTGAGAGAAAAAAAACAAACTTTAAACTGAAATGTCATACTAAAAGGGAGTAACATGTTCTCAGGAAGCTCAGGAGTCCAGATTAAAACCTCTTGTATCAAGAATGGTGTTTTACCACTCTTGATACAAGGGCGGATTCAGTGGTTAAATAGCATTGACAGAGGGGATCCCATCTTCTTATCTTTCCTGCTGGTACTTCAGTCTTCCCTGTTGCTTGCATCAGCATTTATTTGCTTCTATGATAGGCTTCTTAACCAACTCACCCTGCATTAGAAAGATAGCTAGCAAAACAATTGTGTTAAAATTAAGACGGTTACCCCTTCCAGTTGTCTTATAACCCAGTGACTTAACCAGATACATCTCAACTTCTTTCATCCACAAGCCGTGTAAGAGCTTATGAACATGGTCATTCATGTACATTGCCAGTGGTCATCCAATTCACACTTGCCTGCCAAGCTATGGTAACTCAGTTGTACCTAAATTCTGTAATTCTGTTGTTTTTTTTTTTTCTTCCCCGTTTGTTTCATTTGGCACTGACCACTTGAAAATCAAGTCATATGTGCCTTCAGGAGTGTTTACTGGATCTTTAGCAGCGTAGCAGCCTGGGTAAGGGAGAGGAGGGGTCCTGAATGCTCACTTTTCCTGGCCCTGTCGTCTTGTCAATGGAGTGAGGTGTTCTTCAGGAAGCTGCATCTGGAATTTGTGCACAATAGCTGAGGCATGAAAGACGTAGACTATGTGTATCAATTCACAATGGTGCTTTCAGCAGCTATTGGCAGGAAGTTGGTTATTAATGCAGGGAGGAGGAAATGGTATTGAAGGGCTTGACAAAGTATTCTGCTTTAGACTTAAAATGTAACATAATACCCAAGTTCTTTAGTTGCTATAAATGAAATCTAAGGGGGGAAAACCCCTTGGACAAAATTCACAATGAAATTCCTATTTGTATGTGAATGCACTCATTGCAAAATGATTTACACTGATAAGTTATTTCCCTTCCCCTGATAATAAGATGGCCAAATACTTTCCAGATGTCAGTATAAAATAAACATTGCATGAGGTTTTGTTTTTAGATGGCGAAAACCTTACCTTTGTTGTATTTATGCTGCTTCTTTTATCCTTAAACACGTTACCACACTGTGGATCTTCCGCAGATCTGTTTTGCTTGTTATATGCTTTTACCTTTGTTATTTTCTTTCTTACCATATATTTTGGAAAACATAAAAAGATTAATTTACCAAAGGAATGAATGATATTCCACTTTTATGGCTGGCTTTAAATGTGCTTTTATCTATCTGTCTATTTGTCTGGCTTTACATGTCCTTATATCTGTCTGTCTATCAGGTGATAATCTCTTACGGTGCTTTGAATGCTACCGTTTTAAAGTGAAGATGAAACTGAGGTGTAGAACTGCATAACTGCACAGTTCTTTAGTTTCAAATATTCAAAAATCAGACAGCTAGATGTTCTCTTATTTACTGTTTAACTGTAACATTCTAAAGTGTCTGAATTGCCCATTGCAAAGCAAGCATAAATGCCTAGCAGTAGTGTTCTCCCTCTTAATGCTTATGTACCTTTAGATAATTTGCCAAAAGAAATATCTGTGAAATTTCTAGCTTCAGTCTTCTTTGTAATATTTATAAGAGTTCAAAATTTGTTTGTAGCAGAACATTTTCTTAAAATGTCTTATTTTTGCAACCATTGTTTTGTGGGGGGGTTCACCTTCCTGAGATGCAGGATGTAGGAGACTACTTTCGACTATAAAGCTTGCTACAAAATAAAGTTAGCTTATTTATTGCTCGATTTGATGATGGATCTGTCTAAAGCCACTTATATTTTGCAACCAGTAGATCGTTTCTTCCAGACTTATTTTGCTTACTAACACCTTATTTACTCTTAACATTCTGCTGTCAGTCAGGACTGCCTAATATTTTCAGCCCCTTGAATCATTCCTCTGTTAGGTAGGACATGAATATTCAGACCTATTGTCACTGGAAAACATCTCCCCTTCATCCCCTGCACTTTTGAAATCCCAAGATAAGGTCTGATAGTGGAAGAATGAGGAAGGAAAGGATGGTCAACTTCTTCAGCTGTATGGGCAGCAAACTTTCAGTTCTTCCATATTTTAAAAATACCCAAAATAAAACCCACCCCAAAATGCAGAAAGAAATAACTCTTCCAAACCCCTCTAAATTTTCTTGGTTTGAAGTTTAGAAGAAGAAAAGTCACAGAAGTCAACAGGCTTCACCTTTTGGTATTTTTACTCTCAATTGTCTTAATCTTTATTTGTCTGCTTTTTGAAATACGTTTACCTTCTTTTAGAGTTTCGAATATACAACAGCAGCTGGCCTTGCTAGATAATGAATCTTGGCCAGGAATGGCTGAAGCGGACAGGGACCGTCTTCAGCTCATCAAAGAGAAGGAGGCTCTTCTTCAGGAGTTGCAGCTCATCAGTCAGCAGAGACGATCCCCAGAAGACATTGCACGTTTGGAGGAAGAAAAAAGACGCTTGGAGGATGAAATTCAGCAGGCTCGAGCAACATCTGCTCATGGGGCCACAGAAAGGTCTGGGAACTTAAATTGTTTTCTTATCTATTTTAAGATCCATGTAAGTAGTTTCAAAAGAAAGAGTAGGGAATTTCACTGTGTTTAAGAAAAAACAACAGAATGTTTCTGGAGTAAGTTGCTTTCAAGAAAGGAAGAGGCTGCTTCTGACTGGCATTTAATTCTGACTGTCTTGAAGGTTTCTGAAGGAGAGTTAGAGTGCTAATGACTAGTTAGTTTTCCTTTCATTTATCTGTCTTCTGAATAGAAAGAAGAGATCAGAACACAGTCACAAAAGATGCTTGGAAAAAGTCTGAGTGATATTGTCTGATGATAGGGACATGCGTAACAGCAACTATAGAGTGCAGCATTTTCCTCTTGTTTTGCAGTGGAGTAATATTCATCTCCAAAACCATCAGAACAAAGATCCTTTTCCTATATTTGATTTGTGCCTTATAACAGGAAAGTTAAATGAAGATTTTACTACCTTTTGTATACAATTTTTCCTTTTAATTTGCAATCTCAGCAGTGGGAGCACATCCCAACTCTGACATTCAGAGAGCACAATGAACAGAGTCATTCTTGAAAACTTAAATTAAATGTCAAGTTACATGTAAAAACAACCCCCCAAACTTATTAATGGAAACACTGTGTTTATTTCAAAGTTGGCCGGTTGTTCCTGTAGCCAGAGAAATGGACAAAGCCTCTTAACCTCTTCTTGTTACTATAAACCGCTTTCAGTGAAAGCACTGAAAGCTTCTTCTTGTTTCCCAGACTTGCTTCTCTTAAACAGTGCTAAAAACCCAGTTTGACACTTGAGGAAAACTACATGAACAAGCTTTAATGTGATTTCTGTAAAGGTTACTATTTACATAATTAAGACACTTCTACAGTATTTGGAAGTGCCTTGCATACACAAATTTTGAGAACTTCAGTTCCTTTGAAAAGGCTTACTTCAGACAGCAAATTCAGGCAATAAACAGAAAATTCACAGCCAACCTACAGTTCAGTGTTCCATATTTTGCAGTTTTTGCAATATTGTTACATTGGCTTTCCAGCTTTAAACTGACAGAAAAGGGAGTTCACTTTACACTGTAGTGTAGTAAGTTTTATTTGTTGGTTTTGGGTTCTCATGTTAGGTAGTGCATGCTATGTTGGCAAGAAAGCCAGGCTATTTTTCCATGTAGTTCAGGCTGTGGAAACCAGCGTTCCAGTGTGATACTTGATATTTCAAATGCGAGCAAAAAGTTGAGTAGAAGTTAGAATAATATTGAAGGGCAATCTATTTTTGCATAACAAATTGGAGGAAAGCTTAACTATTAGTAGCCCATTTATTTGTTTGACTTAGGTTCAGGAATAACCAAAACCATTCCTAGTTCTGCTTTTCTTTTTCTACTTTCTCCGAATTGTGGAATAAAAAGAAGCTTCCTCTTTAAATAATTGTTGGGTCTGCTCTGTTTCTGAATTTTACAGGAACTGAGTTACGTGCAGATCAGAACTAACTTAAAATCTGTATGACAGAGATTGGGTTTTGTTTTTCGTTTTTTTGTTGGGTTTTTTGTTTTTTTTTTTGTTTGTTTGTTTGTTTAAGATGTTGGCAGCCTTAGTTGGAGGCATCTCTTGCCCTTCAGCACAGGTACCTACAGCACTGATGAGTATGGAGTGTAGGTTCCTAAGTTTTGAACTGGTTAAGTTTCTTGCATCCATTTGTCTTTTTCTTTTTGGTTCCTGCATGCTGTGCCTGTATCATGTAAGTTTACATAGTCGAGCTACAGCCTTCCTTGCACCAGTTGATTAACCTGGTCTGGGGTCCACAGAAGCAGGAGAAAAGTTTCACGCTGTTGGGTGTGCAGCTTCTGCTGTGTGGTTTCAGTGAATGGAGCTCCCTGGAGGGTGGTGGGATTGTTGGAGTGTAGCACTACAGCCCTTTGCCAGCATATGAATTGTTGAAGTTGGAGGCTAAAGAAGTTGAGAGATTTATGTTTTTACTGCTAATAGAGACGTGGTTTTTTTTCACATCTTAACCATCCAAAGTTTATTGACACTAATACTGCTGGGTTTTATCCAGAAGGACTCTTTTTCTTCTTTTTTTTGTTGACTTTTATTTTTATTTTTTAAATCCTGCCCATTAAGGTGTTGAATTCTAACAGCTGTCTTTGCAGTTGAGGAGGGTCTTGAAGGATTGAGATAAGTTTGATCTGTTTTCTCCAAACTTTCTATCAAAATCCTAATTTCCAGCCAGCTTATGAAAGCACGGCTGGAGGAGTAACTTTCCTGAATGTACAAATGATGTACAATACAAAACATGTTTAGCAATCCTGATTTTATTCTGAAGTTCAGTGATTTGGCTTGGAAAAACAAAGCACCATGAATACCTGTGATTCTGGATTCAGGAAATTAATAAATGTGATAACAGTACATAAAATCTATTCTTTGAAGTTTTAAAACTCTCCAAATACAAAAATTAAGCTATCATATAGCTGTCTGAGACTGACAGCATTGAAGGCAACGTTCCATTTGTGTTGTGACACTGGTACTGAGTAATTCAGATGCTTGGTATTAGAATGGGCAAAAAATAATTCTCAGAGATTTTTGCCATAGCTTAGCATTCAAAATGTATCACCAACTTAATTATATAAAAATGTACTTGAAACACCTAGAATTAGAGCTTAAAGTTGAGTTTTATGGCTACTGCTTAACAGAAGTCCTCCAAAAATTTTCCATTTTATCTTTGAAATTTGACACTAATTAGCTTGGATATTAGGGCTGTTTGGAATATTTCTTTCCTGCCAAGGCAACGAAAGGCATAGTAGTTCTCTGTATTTTACTGGCACAGTCAGGTTGATGCAACGGAAAAAAATCGTTGTAGACTGATGGGTTTTTTTTACCTAGGACTTTATAATTTTGCTAATTGCTGTGATGTATTTTCAACATCATGAGTCCTACACTGTACCTCAGTTACTTTTCTTGTCTGGGAATTCTGCTGGAGTCTTGGTTCTTGTGTTCTTGCTGAAATTACCATAGCTACATCTGAGCTGGATGAATTAAAACTTTTCATTAAGTAGCGAGACTTACTTTTATATTCCAGACTGCAATGCAACGATATTTTTCTATACTTGGAAAGCTCCTAGCACTTCTTGAGCACTGCTCTATTGAAGAAAAATAATACGATGTATCTGTTGAATTGCAGGATACTGTTACAGGAAAAGAGAAATTGTTTGCTTATGCAGCTAGAAGAAGCTACACGTTTAACCTCATATTTACACTCCCAGTTAAAAAGGTGAGTTATGTAAAACCAGGAGATTTTGAACTGCAGCAGAGAAGAATATTAATAATCTATAAAGTTTACCTTTTAATACTTTTATGTATGTATGCCAAGTAAATTCATTTTTTACTAAATTTATACAGTTTGGTCTATGGAATGTGATGACTTTGATGGAGTTTTATAACTAGTAATAGGGATGACTATTTGGGCTACATTATTACGTGGGAATTTTATGTTATCTTATTTTTCTGAAAAGATACATACTTAAATCCCTTCCTAATATTGTCACAGTTTTCCTAATATGAAGATAACATTCTTTTAAGTTCTGTGAGATTTTAATATTGTCCAAAGGAAGGGATCTTTGATCCCGTATGAGTTGACAGTGTTTTGCCATTTAAATACAAGAATGTGCTAAGACCCACACAGAAGCCCAGAATATTTTGCATATTCAAGCTTGCAGCTGCCTTTTTAGATTCAGCTCTTGGGGATTCCCCAGCTCAACACCGTGCCAACGTCAAAAGCTCAGTTCCTGCTGTGTCTCACTTCGTCTCTCAGTGTCACTTGTATTCTTCTCTCCCTAACTGTCTGAGTGGTAAGAGGAACTGGAATAGGATTCATCATAACATGTTTTTTATTTTGCCCTGAGAAAGCCTGTGAGGGTGAGGCTTACATAGCAGTTTGTTAGGACTTTCCAAATCCCGTCACGCTTCTTCTGCCTGATATGTTTATTACCCATCATTAATACAAATTCAAGCTGGATCATAGTAATCTACCCTTCCCCTCTTTACATTGAGGGGAATTGATTTACACCGATCCAGATCCTGCTCTGGCCTCTCTTCTGCGAAATTATGGCTGCTTACATGCTGGAAGAAAGAGCATGCTTGTCTTGTTGAGCCATTTGTCTTCAGGCACTTGGACCTAATGTGCTTGTCACTTGCAGTGTTCCAGTTGTGGTTGTGCTTGAGACCAGGGCAAGAGACACGAGCTAGACTTTAAAATACCAAATCATGTCTCTGTGTTGCTGTACTGAAAACATGTAAAATTCCTTGTGTAATCTGGATTGACATTTTTATGTCTGAGCTGGTGTATGTGATTGTGTTTGAAAGGGCCTTTTCTGTTTTCTCTTTCTTTGCCTGCTGTAGTCTGTCAGCTAGCACCCTCACAATGTCCTCTGGCAGCAGCAGGGGATCCCTGGCCTCCAGTCGAGGATCCCTGGCCTCCAGCAGAGGCTCCCTCAGCTCCGTCAGCTTCACGGACATCTATGGCCTGCCACAGTATGACAAATCAGACAGCGTTACAGACTATGGGCAGCATCTACGCTTTGACATAATTCCCTTCGAGTCTCTCACAAAGGATGTGCCATACGCTGATCCCATTGGACACTCAAATTTCAATAAGCAGCGGAGGTCTCTGGATACCCCGCAGTCCTTGGCATCCCTGTCATCACGGTCCTCCTTGTCATCGTTGTCCCCTCCAAGCTCACCTCTGGATACCCCGTTTCTCTCTGCATCTCGAGATTCTCCCTTGGCTCAGATGTCAGAAGGTTTTGAGGAGATGGCGAGCATAGGAGCCTTGGAAATGCTCAGGGCTCAGGCCACAGCATTGAACGATGATGAAACACAAGGAACAAGCTCATCTCAGACGTCCACTTACCCTGTGGACAATGAAATGTTGCGAGAAATGGGACCACAGCTGACTGCTGTCCAAACTGGTGGAGGTGAGTTTCTGGACGTACTATTTTGTCACATCATCATAGGAAATGCTACACAGACCTAAGCATATATTGGCATAGTAGAGATTGTTTCTCAGTTTGGCTTGCTATACTACGAACCGCTAATCGCTCAAAACGAGCAACTTGTTGTTTACCAACTACCACCCACACCCCCCAGAAAAACCAAACACAAGACCAGGCATGAGGTGATGCTGCTGACAGTGCTTGAAGGCTGGCTGACTCTATGCTGAATGAGTACAAACCCCAGACCAGGTTCACATCTTATGTTCTGCAATGGAGCAGAAGGTGGCGGCATGGTGGTCATGAGTGCATGGTGCACTGTACTTCTGAATAGAGTTCTTTGTCACCCAGGGAACATCCTTTACAGGGATGTGTGAGAAAATCGACATCTGCTTGAGTGGTTGTCTCGGAGAACCTGAGGTGTATGATTGTAGAGGAGCAACATGTGCAGTTATCACAGCACACATACTGTTGAGTTTTCTTCTGCTTGGCTGTGAAGTTGATAGACTTGCTTTGGTTTGTATTGGTGGAAGCTTCTGTGGCACTACAGTTGAGAAATGTAAATTAGAAGGATCAAAAAAGGAAACTTTATAAAAAAGTTTCCTTTTTAGAAAACAAAACAAACATTTAAAAACCTGACCATACAGGCACGACATTTCTTTTCCTGTTTTAGTCGATCAAATTAAGAACTGATGTTAAAGTGAAAACGAGTATTCCTCCATGATGAAGTTCTTGTGTGTTGGCTTACTCATAATAAGACCGTACTAGTAGAGAAGGGCTTTTGCAAGTATATTTTTAATATTGAAGATTATAATTTCCATCCCATTTCTATACCCAGAATTCTGTGTTCTTAATTGTGTATAATGTTGCATTCAGGACTTAGGATATCAGGAGTAACGTGAAATATAACCACAAAGGTATCATATTATCCTACCAAAATTTTATTTGTCAAGTGATAATGAGAAGGAACATTGACAGCTTTCAGCTTTTTTCAGTATTTTTGAAAAAAACCACACTTCACCAATGTGCTAAAAAGCCTTTATTGCTCAAACGGCATTTGAGTCTACATTCGCCTGCTTTCCTTAATGCAGCTGGCATTGCCAGAACATACTGCTGCAGAATTTGTATTTTCTAGATGTAAACATTTCTAGTGCCCATATTGTAGCTTTCAGACCAAAATAAACAGAATTCCAGAGACCAGCATGTAAGCTTGTGCTTAAATTAGTGCCATGAAGAAGCTTCCTGAGGCTTTCTTTAAACCTCAGATCAGACCACAGCATGTCTTCACCCATTGTGGTAAATGAAAATATGTAGTAGCTCGTCTATAGCTCGTACGTGTTTCCTAGAAGTGAAGGCCTGGTCTGAAGGCCTAGGGAGCAACAGGATGAGAGTCAAGTTCCTGCTTTGGTTTTTCCTTTTCTCCCTTCTCTGTCACATTTTATACATTTCACATTTCTTTGACAGCTTCTGGCAGAACATGCCTGTGCTACCTGCTGTCACTGCTGTGGAGTCCAGCTCCTTGTCAGGGGTTAGACTTCCCTTTGTGTACAACGGAGATCTTTGTGTTCCTTTTTGAGGAAGAATGTATGGTTAAAAGGGAGCCAGGCTGTTGTGCATTTTCTTGGTTGGTTTTGGTTTGTTTTTTTGTTTGTTTGTTTGTTTGTTGTTTGGTTTTTCTTCAGTTTGAAAGCAATTGCTTAAGAAAAATGTCTGATTTTTGGCTGGAGTCATGACTACGTGGAGTTCCACACTCATTAGCTGGTGGGTTTGCAATTGTAGTATAGTTGTGTGCAAGTAGCAGTTGGAATTTCGAAATAATTTTGAGTTTGTACTCTTGTTTTTGAAGAATTTGATAGCGCAGCAAGCTTGTATATCCCAGTTTGGGAACCCCCAGGTGTTGAGGGGTTCTGGTTTTCACTAAGGTATGTGCAGTGTGCTTTGCTGCTGCCACCCAATGGCCTGATAGTATAACGCGATGCTGGAAAACAGTAATCTTTTGCCTGCTCCTTCACTGGAAACAAAATGAGGTAATAGTTGCAAATTGTGGGTGCCTGGAGGATTAAGACTGAATAAACTGCTCATGCTTTTCATTGAAGCAACACTTGGGCAAGTTCAAGGAGATCTTCAGGACCTGCAGTTTTGATATTCAGTTGCTGATCTGCTGTTTTAAGTCTATCTTGGGCATACTGTGAAAGATGTTAACAAGTGTGAATGGAATGAATATGCCTGAGAGATTAAAACCATCATATTTATAAAGCTGGGAGTGGGAGGAAACATGTTATTAAAATACTGGGCTTAATATCTTCATTATCTCTTGCTTTCTATCCTAAAATAATATTTCAAGTGCTATGTTTCCTTTAATGCCTAATCTGTTGTTTGCAAAATATTGCCATAAACGTAAAAGATGATTTATCATTGTGTGCTTTTCATTTTGTCTTGTTTCTCATGCGGCACAAGAGAAAAATTCACTGTAAGTGAACCTGAATTACTACTTACTGTGCTGTTTTTGCCTGTAATTCCAGTGTGGTTTTCTGTGTGAAGTGTTGTTGGTTTTGGGGGTCTTGGTGGGGTTTTGAGTTGCATGTGAAGAAACAGGAGATTTTGCTACATTTGGTTTTGTTTGACGTTGTGTATCTAAACAGCTGTATCTGTTTAATCATTATGGCATACTTAGTTTTTTGCTATGACAACTAAACAATATATTCATGGCTGTAGTTAAATTCCTGGAAAAAGTGTTCTGTGACCTTCAGCTTTGTTATAATAATGCCTGACAGCATCACAGTAGGTAAGGTCTCTGTGTGTCTCTGATTCAGTTTTTATGAGTGTTTGACTCTTGTAGAAGTGCATTTTGAGCTGATGTGTGGTATTTGTAATCTTCTAAGCTTGTGAAACATGCTTATGTATTATTTAGCTAATGAAATCTTGGACATCAGCATTTCCTTTGACGTTCACTTTTTAGCTAATGATACCTGAGAACAGCCTTTTAATTAGGGCTTTCTGATACTTACTGAGATTTGGCACCTAGTAGTTCTGGAAATTCATATATATTGTTTGCTGATTTTGCTACGTAAGTAAGAAAATGACAGGTAATTGTCTCTAATAGAAACTTTATTTTTGAAATAGAAATCCCATTTCTTCAGCTTCTGACATTGGAAGGTCTGCAACATGTGCTGTACCTTGTTCTGTTTAAGATAAGATCTGGTGTTTCTTCTTGACCAGTTTTTCCTGCTGACACTTCTTTTTTTTTCTTTTTTTAATATCAAGGGCATGTTTTGGTGTTTGCATCTCTCCCAAATTCACTGGGTTTGTCCAGATGTTATCAAATAATTCCATGGCCTCTAGGCAGTGAGCAAATCGTTGTCAAGTTACAACATTGTTGTAATATGTCAGTTTTTCATGAGATTATATTGGTGCTTCAGATCAATTTTTCCTTCCAGACAAATTGAGAACATGAACCTCCAAAGGAGAGAGCCCTGGAGGTCTTTCATCCTTTAGATCTATACAAAGTGTTCACAAAGAGGGGTGAGCCAGAGGCCTATTTACAAAAAGAAGTCATCCTACTGTAACTTGTTGAAATTAGTACAGAAATTATGAAGGCATTTTAAAACAAAACTTAAATCAATTTTGTGAAGTTCGGCCTCTTTCCAGTGATGTAAAGTTATTGGGAGACTTCTGCACTAAGATATGTCTCTAAGAGAGCTACTTTTTATTCTGCATAAATACCAGTGACAGAACTCAAGAGGTGGGCTCACCAAATACAGTTCTTTGCTTTCTGTGAGCTAGCTTGAACTTGGCTGTCCTATGTGGTGAGGATGACACAAGTAGTACTGCATGATGTGTGGTGTACAGTATTGGAGGGGTGGGGAGGACGGTTCTTTCTCCAGGCACAGAAACAAATGCAGATTGGGCTGTTCCTGGTTAGCAGATTAATTTCTTGCATAGCTGAAGTTGACTAAATCCTTCATTGAATTTGGAGGGGAGGTCTGTAGGGTTACTTAAGGATCCACAGGTACAGAGAACTGGCTCCATTGATATGCAGGAGTTTTAACTCCAAACAGGACTCTGATTTTTGTCATCCTCAGCTGTCTGTGGCCTGATAACAGGAATGTACCTCAGGCTGGCATAGGACTGGTGGCCCCAGTGCATCCTATCTGCCAGTCCCACGGTGGGTTAAATCTAATCTATCCAGACACTTCTGTTGACAGCAGTGGCATGGTTGTGTTAATCTGGGGGGGATTTATATCAGGCTTCAAGCTCTGATGTCCTGTCCTGGTGGTGCTTAGGTGTAAGATGAGATGAGTCCCATGCAGGAGGGTTGCTCACTGTTGGTACCTCAGCTAGGCTCTGCAGGTGGACCTCAGGCCCTGGGGTGGCCTTCTGCTGAAGGAAACTTACTGGTTAGATACTAGCATTTGATTTTTGGTGCCTTAAGATAGTGTGTAACAGAGGTATTTGACAAGTTTTTACTTTGAGTAAGACATGTCTCATTCTTAGTTGGGGGCAGTAAGCTATAAATATCAGCTGGTGCTTGTGTCCAGTGTAGTGTGCCCTGTGCTACTGTCACACCAAATGCTGTCTGCTGAAACTGTGGATGCTTCCATGCTGTTTGAGTTTGTGAGCTTGAGTAGAAGCAAGTAAGATGCTTTCTCCATTTTTAAATTGACATCTCTGATGCTGCTTTTCTGCTTTGAGGGTAATCATTGAGCCTTAAGCAAAATAAGGGCAAGTTGGTGAAAGCTCTTCGCTGCACAGTGAGGAAACTGCACTTCCACAAGTCTATTTGATGGTTCTCTCTGGGATTTGAAGGAAAACAATTTCAAGTTAGGAGCTGTCATTGAAGGATCAAAACCCTACCTATGCAATTCTTGAGCATTACTATTTGTGCATGTACTTTAAAGGATTGGTAACTGCTGTACCTACTTGCCTGTGCAAAACCTGATGTTATACATCATTTTTGTTACTACACTTAAAACATGAAAATGATTGCTGAGTTAGCTATTTATGGCGTTGCTGGTGATTCAGGGAAGGGTGAAAGAGGGGGTTGAATATTGCTTTCTCCTCCCCCAGCCAGTTTTCAGAGTCATTCACGAAGAATTTGAAAGAACAGTAGTCTGAGTGAGTTGGAAAGCACTGGTTCTTTTTGATAATGCCTTTCAGACTGTAAATAAAAGCTGCTATTATGTGATGGTATAAACAATGTGCTTTGAGACTTTGTATTAGGAAACAAATGAGAACAAAACCTCACATTGTGTTATCTGATAACTTCTTGAAAGAATTAGTCTCTGTGTTTGTTTTCAGTCTATTGTACATTCAAGTAGGTAAATGTTAAAAGTTTAGGATATCATGTGTACATATGTTGAATTAATGTAAGTCTTCCTTCAGGAGGGATTATTCTACTAGAAAAGCATTTAGTAACAATGCAATTGGTTTATACTAAGTCCTGTCAGAGAGGAATTAGCCACAAACTTCCTTCCTTAATTCTCCCACATAACATCTCCGGTCAATTGTATTTTATGTTTTTAAGTTGGATGAGAAAAACAATGAACTGCATTTGTGCTATTTTGCCACTAGTTTTGATGCAATAAATGTTTCTTGTTTAACTTTTAAGAAGTTGCCTTGAGCTGATGTTGTCTTTTCTCCATGACAGCTGTAACTCTGCGAGGAGACAGTGGTAGAAGATCGGAGAGGAGAGCCAGGCGAGTTTCAGCATGTCTCTCAGATCATTCACTGGCTAGTGACAGTGGCGTGTTTGAAGCTTTAAGCAAAAGGTCAGGTGTATAAATGCGTAGTAAGGTGGAAATATTCCTGTTCTACCATATGGTCCGAAAGAATTTGTTGTGAATTTCTGAATAAGCTTTCAAAATTGCTCATACTTAGTAACTTAAAAATATTAGATTGCATGTTTAAAGTAGCTTTTTACATGCAGTTTCGCTGTCATCTTTACAAGTGCCAAGTGCCTTTTGCTTTGTTGCCTCTTAACATTTTAACACCATACACTTTTGCCTTGAAAGATAGTTTTCTCAGCTTATTAATCATGAATTGGTAATTTTCTTTCAACCATTTAGAAATAAAATTGTACACAGTGTGACTTACAGTTCCTTGTAGTATGTGATAAAAGTATAAATGCAAGGATGAAATATATGAACTGCTAAAAATCTGAAAATGTGTAGGTTGACCAAATGATTGAAGGGTGGAATCGGTGATTGTTTCTTTATACAGTTTTAACACAATAAACAATAACTGAGAAGAAGAGGTTTTGAGGATGCTGAAGAGAAATGGAATATAGGATATATATTAAAATAACCTAAGTGTTTTGAAAGATGTATTCTAAACCCTCATTTTTTTAAATAATGAATTACTACTTCTGTGTGTGTTTGTAAATAGATATTTCAATTATTTCTATATTACCAGTCCCTCCTGTATTGCCAAACAGTTGCTTATACTTACACATCACAGAATAATCGTTTTTTTCATTATGTTTTAACAGCTTAGGTCAGTATGTAGTTTAACAGTACTTTCTGTTCCTGCAGGAATGAAGATCTGGAAGAGCCTGTTTATGGTGATGCTGCCAGTAATGAAGAACCACAAATACATGTTGGATTTCTGTGAGTATTTACTTCTCTTCATGACAACTCGGGATTCTTGGCTTTGTTTTTTAACTTTTTAATAAACTTAAACTGCAGTTGATAGTTTTTAAGAAGTTTCTGAACTGACAGCCAAGTTTAGTGGATGTACAGATTAGTCAGTCACAGGCCATTTCAGTGCTGGTGACTTAACCACAGTTCATTCAGTTTCTTTTCAGTGTTGGCTGGTAAAAGGGCCTTCATTACTTCTTTCAGTAGGATTTCTTTTCATTCTCTGGGCTATTAGTGTGAACGTGGATATAGGGATATATCTCTCTGAGCAAGATCTCTTTATGCCAGGTAAAGGAGGATTATCTTACTAAAGTCACAGGTACAATTACAGTTCCCAAATACAGCTTTGAAATCATGTGCTTAGGGCATACTGTTGTTGGTATTGGGAGTACTGTGAGGACAGACAGATCATAGCAGTGCGTGGCAGGATGTTGTATCTTTAACATCCCTTCAGAATCTCTAAGTGTTAGAAAATTAATTTCCAACCTTGGCAGTTTTCAGATCTCAACTAGGTTTGTTAGTTCCATTTCAAAATTTGTGTGAATGCTCCATCCCTGGCAGTGTTCAAGGCCAGGTTGGACAAGGCCTTGGGTAATACGGTTTAGAGCGAGGTGTCCCTGCCCATGGCAGGGGGGTTGGAACTTGATGATCTTAAGGTCCTTTCCAACCCTAACTATTCTATGATTCTATGAAAGAGTAGAGGGTTTTATTTAATTTCATTAACCAATGAAAATAACGCAGACTGATTTTTGTCTGGTGTAATTGATACGTTATTACACATTTTGTGTACAAACACATATATACATATGGTGTAACTGTGGAAATCAAGGAATGTAGTTTATAAAACCTGTTCCCTATCAAGAGTCACAGTAAGGAATGTTGTGCTTTTCAAATTGAATAATGTTTAATTCTCTTAGTTCTGATAAGCTCCTTACTGTAGCAAATAATAATATTCTGTTATCAGAGTGTGATATGTGTAATTGCTTTTGATTTAAACTGATTTGTGTAAGGGATTTAACAGCAAAGGTGCTTTTACATTCTTAAAATTTTTAGTCTATCATCTCTAGCTGTTAAGCAAAATATTGATGCTTGGTGACTAACACAGGAAATTTATTTTCCAGGCATGACAGTGGAAGCGAATATCTGTTAGTCCATGTATTGCAGCTGAAGAATTTTACTAGTCTAGTTGTTAAAGAAAACTGCAGAATGTAAGTTCAAATTTCATCTGAAGTCTGATCATTGCTCATTTTGTACCTTCTATGGTATTTACGGTCATAAATACCATAGGTTTGTTTGCTTTCATGCAGAATTAAGCCATTTGTGGAGATAGACGGTATGTTGTAGTTTACATGAGGAAAAGGTTAATTTTATGGACACAAAGTGTCCCTTTTATAAAACCTCTTTCATAATGGTCAGATAACAAGCATAGTCTCTAATGACCCATGTTCTTACGTGTCTGTTATGCACAGGAAAGTTTGCACACATTTGCGGCCGTTACAGCTGGCCTTGAATTATCTGTGAAACACCCTCTGAATATAATTTTAGCACAAATACTAGCTGAGAATCAGTACAAGCAAGTGATTATTTTTTTTTTTTAGCCTATAGCAGCTTGTGCTTTTTTTTTTTTAATTCCATGTCACATTATGTAGAACATTGCTTAGTTTATTCTAATAAATGTTTCTTAAACAATGATATGTTGCCATGAAACACCATTTTATCTACTGATATGTATCTTAACATATTTTAAAGAAATTCAACTCATGAAAATTGTTGATCTTTATCTCTGGGAGAGGTTGTTTATAAACTGGAAAATGGAAGTATGATAACATTGTTGTGTTGTAAAATAAGTCATTCTGTGGGATTTGTTAGATTGACATGCATCTCACTGAATGAGTTGATCTTTGAGAATGCTTAATCTTTCTAACCCTGAAAACTTCAGGTGGAAATTCTTCCTATAGGTTAGTGCATTAGTGTTGGTCTTTTGCTTTGTTTTCAGTGCGAGTGCAAGGGCATGTGATAGGGGAAAAAAGTGTTGAGTTATAGTCAGCTGGGTTGCCTTGTGATTAGGAAAAGAAGCATCATCTGAAGAAAGCGGAGTCACAAAAGAAAAAAAATCCCTTTAGAGGGTTTGTTGGAACTTGTCACCAAGCAATTGGCCATCAAATGACTCTCAAAAAAGCCGTTCATCCTTAGTTAACTACCCATCCTTCTTAGTTAACTATCTCAGCTGGAATAAAAAAAACTGCATGGCTGTAGCATAGATCAGCTGGTTTGAGTATTCAAAAAACTTTATCTTACAAAACAAGAAAAAGCTTTTAGCCAGTTTAATGAACTCCTCCATGCAGCTGTATGTTCATTGAATCAGCTGTTGGTGGCAGCAGGGGGGGAGGTTACCTGCAGCAGAGGAGTTGTATCATTCCCTTTTTACAGCATGTGAAACTCTTTGGCTGACTGATGCTCCACCCTCCAGTGCTGCACCTCCATCATAGTGAGCTCTTCCAGCTGTCCTCTAGCCGTTTATTTGGATATCAGTGTCAACCCATCTCTGCTGCTGTAAGAGTTCATGCAGCCATGTTGAGTGAGCCTCTGAGCTGGGCTGGGTTTGTTCGGCTTTTTTTTTTTTTAATGATGTTTTGGGCAGGTTTTTGGTAACTCGGGCAAGTTTTCTAATCTATTTCACAACACAGTTGCAGGAAGCTGTTTGCTGGCACAAGGGAAGCTATTGCAAAAAGCAGGTTATTGCAGGTGCTGGACAAGCAGTCAGGACAGGGAGAATATAGGAACACCTCAAGTAGCTCTGCTGCCTTCTATCAGATTAAAATGGTTGTGGATTTTGTTCTGTTTTTTAGGTGTTTTGGAGTCTGAAATGAGATGGTACCATATATTTAACTTTGGGGTTTTTTTAGGATGGCAGATGGATGCAGTGATTGCAGATTTCTTTTGCCATCCTTTTGTGCTGAGTTTCTTAAGGGAAGGGAGAGGAAGGTATGCTTAGTGGGTGGAAGGAAGAAATGGGTCAGTGACACTTAGATAGCAATTCAATAGCCTAAATGTTGGCATGTGTTTCCATTTGAAACAGCATAGCATAGCACCTGGCCTCCAGCTGCTGCTGCTCAGGGGAAGGCTGTAGCTCTCCCATATATCCTGTGTCATATTTGCTAGTCCAGTGTAGATGCCTTGGATACCTCAAGGCATCTCAAGTGCCACTTGGTGCCTCTCCTTAAGAACCAAATGAAAAAAAAAAAAGTATATAAAAAAAAAAGAAATAGCATTTCCAAACCAGCTTTGCAGATTGTCCATGTTAAGAATACAAAGTAAATTTCTGTAATGAGGAGATCCCAGAGCTGATTCTTAAAAGTAGAAGTTGCATTGATGTTTTTGCTTGATTTTGAGAAATGCAAAATAGCTTTCTTTGTCTGAATTGTGCTGTTTGTCTATTTTGCTGTTCCCAGTCATGTGAGAGTTTATTTGCCACCACTTGAGTCAGGCACACCAACCACTTACTGCTCTAGAGCTTTGGAATTCCAAACTCCGTTAATATTTAATGAAGTTTTCCAAATCCCCGTGCATTCAAGTGTTTTGAAATTAAAATCACTGCAGCTGTATATCTGTTCAGTTGACCATCAGCAACAAGAAGAATTATTGGTAAGTGGTCCTTTGTCTTAAAAACCATTTGGTATGGGAAATTAAAGTTACTTGAAGAGTAATTTTAAGATTAAAAACAGAAAGTGAAGACTTTTTTGTAAGGTTTGCTGGTACACATACATGTTAATGTGCCTGTTCACATATGTAGGTATAGTTCTGTTAATAAAAAAGGTGGGAATTTAAGAAAGTTGAAATGTGTGCATTTAGGTTACATAAAGTCTTGGAAATGATTGGCAGAATTAGCAGAGGTTGAGGGTTGGAGCATTCACTTTTAACACTGCTTAAATGTCATACACTGCACAGGCATGTTGAAAATGGATATAAGGTTTGCATTCATTGCTGTGGCATATAGTAAATAAGGAGTAAACTTTTTATTTCATGCGTTTTTTAAAAATGTCAGCTGTGGGGAAAGTTGAAAAGTCTGCCATTGCTAAATTTTGGTGCAAGAAGGGAAAGCATTATGTAAAAAATGAAACCTTTCCCCAAAATCTTCATCTGACAGCTTTTAGACTACATAGTGCTCAAGACTTCCATTCTGCATGGCACTGTAACACACGATGTATCAGTATTATTAAAAAATTTCCTAATAAAAAGGTAACAAATATAAACCCTTTCATGCTATATAGCTGTAACAGCAGGCAAAGAAGACTGCTGTAGTATCAATGATAACTTTGTTACTGGATAGTACTGGTCCAAGCAGGTTTCTGTTAGACTACCCTTTCACTTAAAACCGGTTGAGGTATATCTGATTTAGATACATTTGAATAAATGTGGCAATTGTTTAAATAGGTTACACATATTAACTGTGTTAACTTTAGATGTTAGCTTCATTTAACTATTGCAAATATAAACGTGCTTGAATAAATGTGTCTTGGGGATGATGTCATGGCTGTTTTGAAGTGAATGGGCTGCCATTTCAGTGAGGGGTTTGAAAGGGTTAGTGAAATGCTTTGTTGGGTTTTTTTTTAAGCCTATCAAAGTAATTAAGGGTTACAGGCATCTCACTGTCGTGCTGGACTGTGGAGAATAGGTGTTTATTTGAGCAAATCTGGTCAAGAATGTGTGTTTGTTAGCCCACGTTTAAAACTAGGTAGTGTCTTATATGAACAGTGGTCTTAACGTTGGCAGAAGTGGGCTTAGGATCTTGTATGCAGTAAGTTTTGTCTTTTTTACGCTACATTGTAATGATACAGAAAGCATCTCGAGAACAAGATGGATATATTGATGTATAATGCTTTACACTGGTATATCCTCTTCCTCTGGAAAACAAAATAGCTATTTCACTGTAAAACATCCTTATATTAACACAAGTGCATCTAATTTGAGGGTGCTTTTATTTTAACTGCTTCTACTGAATTAGCAGAAAAATTATAGGTCTTCAGGTTGTGTTGGTAGGATTTTTTTTCTCTTTCTTAATCTTAGTGTAGTTTTGTCAGAAATGTCTTTGTTCACAGTAGGTGGTAACATACCCTAGGAGTAAGTTAACAATGCTACTTAAAAAGAGAGAAACAATGCAATGGTTCTTAAGGTAGGTGCATTGAAGTACATATTTAAAGAATATGTTGTTGCCCTCTTGCTATAAATTTATTATGTAAATCATGTAAATAAGCATTTTCTCAAATTGCAAAATCATTTACTACATCTCTCTGGAACTGCCATGATGGTCTCTGTCTTTCAAAGTCTCTTCCACTGAGATTCCGTCTATTTAATCATCCATACATCTCTGAAGTTCTTGATGACTGCTTTCTTTTCAGTGAGACTGTGCCAGTTTAATGCTTTCCTAAATGCAGAAGCCAGGTTGGACTTTATCCCAAGTTACAGAAATATTCATACATAACAAGGAATGGAAAAAAAAAAAAATTCTGGCAAAGAGTTCTAAACTTCACTTACATAGAGAACTAAGTCTACTAAACTTGTGGGATTGTCTTTCCATTCCCTCAGACTTTTATTCATATGCTGTGCCTTGCTGAAAGATTTTTTTCTGTTTTCCTACAGCTTTCTGAAACTGTGCTTCATTAAGTTAGCTTATTTCTCCCCTGTTGGCCTCATCAACAGCCCCATCCCCTGTTGAAAATAGGGGAGTTATTTTGTGTGATTAGCATACATGGCTCATATCAAAGAAACATGATTGCCTTTCCTGCAATCACATGACGTTGCTGTTTCACTCTCAGTTTCTGATCTTTTACAGCCCTGACAAACCAATTCTTCCCTATGTCTTATTTGAATTCTTCTTGAGTGTAACTTTTCTTTTTTCATTTTGTTATTTTTTAACATAATTTTAAATTCTGATCCTTTCTTCATAAATTTCACAATCCTTCTGTTTGACGTCACCGAGAGATTCATAAATGCTTTCACTATTCCACCATCCAAATTGTTAACAAATACATCAGAACAGTCATGTGACAGGCAGCTAGCAGATCCACCTGGATGCCTTCATCCTTCTGAGCGAGCTCCAGATCTTGAGGTGGAGGTGAAATATTCATTAGTCTTAATAGGGTTTGTTAGTGATTTTCGTCCCATTTAGTGATTCACTTTGTAGTTAACAGCTTCTTAGGCCTTCTTAACTGCTTAATAAGTGCAATCTGTAGGGCAGTGTCAGACATCCTGGAAGTCAATATATGTTTTTTCCAGTATTGATGACAGGAAAATAGCTTTACCTTCTTCCTCTGAAACTAAACCCAGCATGTCTTTTCCATCTCCGATGCAGAAGTGTAACTTATTTAACACATTTCTTTATTACCCTGTATCAAAGCCAGTAGATAATTAGAAGACATCTCTGTTATATATATAAAAGGCATGTCCGTAACCTCCAGTATCTCAGTAACGTGTTGTATCCTGATACATTATTTTGTTGCTTCCAGAAACTTTTCTCCATTGTCCTTTATACACCTGTTTAAACAGAGCCCCAGGGAACAAAAATCTTAGAAAAACAATACAGAGATTTTTTGTTATTATTCTTCTCTAATTAACTGTTTCTTTACCTGCTTAAAGTTGATCAGAGTTTTCTGCATACATTTCCTACTGCCTTTACAATTAGAATCATTCCATCCAGCTGTTTGTTTTGGTCCAACTAGTGAATGGATTAAAAAAAAACCAACCAAAAACAAAAATAAAAATGAGCATGGATTTGCTCACAGTTGTTTTTCATTTAGGTCACCACACAGTAATTTCTTACATGACTGTTGTCGGTTGGAGTAGGGATTCTTTAATGTAGGAATACTTTTAGTTGGAAGCCTCCATTGAACCTATTTTCACCTGAATGTAAGGATGTAAGGGAGATATAAGGATGGCTTGGAAGGTAGAAGAATGTCTTTATGGCCTATTTGACTACTTTACGATATAAATAGGCAGAAAAACATGTTTTCTTTTTTCCCCTCTGGAAGGTGACTCTGAGGACCAGAGAATGAAAGGGTATCTCAAAAGATAGTTCCCTCAGAGGAACAGAGAGTTAAGTAATGCTGTTAAAGTAATATTAATTTAAGCAGATTTTGAAATCAGATATGTAATTAAGAAGGTTGTTTAGTAAAATATTAGCAATCATATCTACATCAGTCATGGAAATTTTATTTTTCAACTTAACAAAATTGAATATCTACTTTTATCCTTCCTGGGAGTTGGCAAGAGACAAGAAATTCAGTATCTTAGATATCATAACACAACAGAAAAAACTATCTTTTTAAGAGATGCTGTTAATGTTTGATAAAGTGGAGGTTTTACACTATAATTAAAATATACTGCAAGGTAGACACCTTCTCATTTCAAGAGTATGTTTACCTTATTGTGGTCAATGATTCTTGTTTTTTACAGGGCATTGCTCAGATAAACCTGACTGATGCAGAGAGTTCTAGTGAGATGCAACTTCACTGGTATACTGTTCAGATCTTCACTGGTTCAGACCCCCAGAGAGCAAAGAACAAAAACCAGTGTGAAGAAAGTATTCCCCGGTCTTCTGGAAATGTAACTACAGTTAAAACAGTATGGCTCTGAAAAAAAGTGATTTGTTTACTTTGACCTGCTTAGTGAGTGGTTGTGCAGCTTGTTTTTGAGGTACACAGAAGGTGATACCTTAATTTGGCTCTTGTGGCAAGAGCTGGATTTTAATAATTAAAAGCTAGATCGTGTCTGGACAGGTGACTGAAATTGTGTTCTGTGTATGTTTGTATGCACACTTCCAGTCCAGCTAACTAAAACGTATTAAAAATTTCTGCCACTGCACTTCAAGAGGTTGTCAAGAAAGGCTGTACAGTTTCCAAGCGTGGAGATATTTTCAGCCCTTGGCTGGGCCCAGGGCAACCAGATGTAGCTATGAAGCTGTCCCTGCTTTGGGCAGGACATCAGACTAGGTGACCTCCAGAGGTGTCTTCTGACCTAGCTTGCTGGATGATGCACAGAGAGATAAACTCTGCCTGGTTTCTCTGACAAGTTGCACACATGGAACACTGCATACTTTTTGATCATTAATATTCAGGACAGATTTTGTTTACTTGTATGTTTCTTGAAAAAAAGACCATGGTTTTATTTTGGTTTCTCTCAATGATATACATTAAATATATTATTTTGCTCAGATTTATTTGACGTCTCTTACTTTTCAGGATGCAGTGACAGCCCTGTTAGCCAGGACCACTGCCCAGCTGGAAGCAGTTGAGAGAGAGTTAGCAGAAGAGAGAGTGAAACTGGAGTACACAGAGGAGGAAATCCTGGAGATGGAAAGAAAGGAAGATCAGGCAGAAGCCATATCAGAAAGGTAAAAATAGTTTAAATACCTCAGCAAACATCCAAATTATATTTAGTCTGAAATACAGCAAGGAGAAACGGCAGGTTCTTATTCGGAGATCTGCTTCTGGTTAGTGTTAAGAGTATAAAATTCTATCATTATGTGATCATGTGCAAACAGGAGAAAACCATCTTTAAATAGCTGTCTGAGTTTAGAGGACTTGGAATTTGGGGAGTGGGAAAACATTATATCAAACAAATTTTGCTAAGGAGGCAACTGTAATGGGTTTGTAGCAGTGCTGTACTAAACAATAAAATTTTGTGTGGACATTGGAAAATGGCAAATACTATATGCATTGCAGTGCTTATGGAGAGAGCATGCAGCACAGCTCTTTGCTATTTCAGGGTTTGTTACAATGCTGTTTCACCATTTAATAATACTCCTAGTTTGTTACGTGAGTTGTGCTGTTCTTTTTGTTACTATGTTCTTTGTATTTTTTATGAAGGCCAGAGTATAGACTTTTAGAAAATTAGGGAGGATGTTTTTTGGGGGGTTTGTTTGGGTTTTTTTGGCATGAAATGTGTTTGCTTGTCTGCATCTACAGAAGTGCAAGTGGGGTATGTTCTCCCTTTGAAAATTCTGTATTTTCGTTGTAGAAATAATACTCTTTAACTGTCCTGAATAATGAAATACATAAACATGATGTGTAAGTGCGTTTTTTTTTAATACCTACAACACTCTTGTGATGTTCTGATTTTAGGAGTTGGCAAGCAGAATCTGTTGACAGTGGATGCAGTAATTGTACCCAGACTAGTCCTCCTTATCCAGAGCCATTTTGCGGGGATTCGTTAGCTGGACACACGTTTGCAGCTCAAGCAGGCCAGTACAGTTCTGGAAAAATGCAGCCTCTGCCACTAAAGGTAATGAGAGAAGACAATGGCACACACAGAGTGTGTTGCTGCTGTTCCTTGAGTTTGAGTCTGAATTGATCAAGACAGAAAAGAATCAGAAATGACATTAGCAACATTATATGAGCACGACCTTCAACAATTGTGATGAAAGTGATGTATTTAAAATCTTTTGTATTCAAGATATGAGACATTGAAAATAATCCCAAACAAGCTGAAATCAGAATATTTCCATTGAAGCAGAGGAACATAAGCTGTTTGTATTGCCTTAGGGAAGATACACCTCCTGTCAAGGAGTGAATTATCTTAAAGTTTGGAAGCTTTGCTAAAGTAGCATATGTTGTCTGTATTTCTGAATATTTTAGTGTTCTTTTATCTTTGTTTCAACAGTCTCTCTGTTACTTTTTGTTGAGTTTCTTTTCCTTATCCTTCCACTACCTAAAGGGGCCTACAAGAAAGCTGGAGAGGGACTTTTTACAAGGACATGTAATAATAGTACAAGGGGGAATGGCTTTTAATCTGAAAGAGGGTAGATTAGATGCTAGGAAGAAATTCTTCACTATGAGAATGGTGAGGCACTGGAACAGGTGGCCCAGAGAAGCTGTGGCTGGCCCATCCCTGGAGGTGTTCAAGGCCAGGTTGGAAGTGGCTTTGTGCAGCCTGGCCTAATAAGAAGTGTCCCTGCCCATGGCAGGGGAGGTTGCAAGTAGGTGATCTTTAAGTGCCTTTTGACCCAAACCATTCTGTGATTCTGTCATTTGACTTCTTCCAGTTTTAAGGTGGTTGCTTCAGAAGTCACCTTGCTTATAGGAAGGTGGCTCTGTTTTCTTCTGTTGAGGCTGGAGATCCGATGGTGGCTTGGTTAATGCCCAATTGCTAATTCTAGATGCAGTCCGTGTAACCTGTATCTATGATTCACGTTACAAATGCATGTGATAATTTTTACTGTTGCAGCAAAGGCTTCTGAAAGGCATTCTTGCACTTTTGAATGGCCTAGTTTTAGAACTCTTTTTAAAAATAAGGTGATTCATCCTCAGTTCTCAGTGCTCATTAAAGCTTGAACCTAGCAGGGCAAATTGTTTGCTTTTGATATTGTTGAAATGCCTGATTGTTTTTGGTGAGAGAGAAAAAGTAAGGAAAAAACAAAAATATTTCCTTCATTGAAATTTTAGGTGGATAAGGAAACTAACACTGAGGATCTGTTTCCTGAAGAAGTTGCTGTTCTTCCAAAAGAGAGAACTAGCCGCAGGCCACGGGGTTCTGCTTTTGTTCGCAGCAGCACTATTGTTCGTTCCCAGACCTTCTCGCCTGGAGCACGAAGTCAATATGTTTGCAGGGTGAGTAAGGCTTAAAAAGAAGGAGAGGAAAAGGGCCTCCACACAAGTATTTTGTACTTTCTTCATAATTTGTTATTTACATTTATAAGAAACATATGCTGCTTTTTAATACTAATGAATAATCTTTCATTGCATTTAAATATTACAGTGGGGAAGAGGTTCCCTGGTTCTTAAGAGTTTAAACCTGAATTTACTTCATTTAAACTTTAAGAATCTGTGGCAAATTAGATGATAAGCTCTTTCCCTGACAACCTTAGATGTTAAGGTAGAGTGATTGATTCTACAGAGGCACAGTGCTGTCTAATATACAAACAGTTGGCTTAGAAACCATGTTTAACTTTCAGGTATGTAAGATTTTGGGATAGAGGACTGAATGCATAATTTTAGGGTTATTGCATGAATACTGTTATGACTCTAGTTGCTTGACATGAATGTCAGTCATAGGGTGCCTGTTACAGTGGGATCTCGGATTCCCAGGTGCATTGGTTCAAGTAGCTGAGTATCAGCACAACAGTTTCTGAGCTTATGTTAGTTGATTGCTATGTTCAATGGCAAAAGGCTTAATAAGCAGCTGGTTCACGGTGTTGCAGATCAATCCAAATTTGCAATATTGGTGGAATGCACATAGCTTTATTTGTTCTCGTTCATAAGCTTTTGAGAGCTTGAGTTTAAAGGCACAGTAATGATTTTTAACACTTATTCATGTTCCTAAACCAATTTTTGCTTTCTTATTTGCATTACATGCAGTGCACCCTTCATATTCTTCAGCTGGATTTCTGGATTCCATATCTGTTTGTTATATAGGGAATCTGAGTAAAGCACCCTCAGAATAAAGGTAGTGCAAGAAGGGAAAGATTGTTAAACATCCTCACTTAATCTGAATTTACTTAAAATCAGAGATGAGGGGGAAAAGTGGAAGACTATTGTTTGTGCCCACAATAGTAAGTGCTTTAAGAAGAAGTGTTAGTGCCTTTAACTACTCTCTCCCCTGTTTGTTTTTTCGGGGGGGGGGGTGTGGGGTGTCACATTGTCCTGAATATGTAATAGAATGTTTGATGAAACTTAGCTGTAAAACATTGATGGTTTTTAAACTTTCTTAAATTATTGTAACTATACAGCATGAGCATGTATTTTTTTAATAAAGCTGAAAAAAATCAGTTGCTTAAAACAGGACAGCTTCAGTGAATGAAAAAAATAAATCTCAAAAGCAAAAGAAAAAAATACAGATTTCTTAATGTAGATGACGTTGTAAACCATATCTTTTCAATTATCTTTTCTAATCAGCTGTATCGCAGTGACAGTGACAGTTCAACTCTGCCAAGGAAATCCCCTTTCGTCCGGAACACATTGGAGAGGCGTACTCTGCGGTATAAGCAGGTATACTTTGGAAACTTGTTTTTGCTTTTCATGAAGTTGCTAGAGCAGTGGTACTTTTATAGCTGAGCTTTAGTTGTCTGCAGGTACGTTCTGAAGTTTTTTGGAAATGCATAAGGCTTCTGTAATGTAATAAGGGGAAGGGTATGTTTTTTGGGTTTGATTTGGGTTTTTTAAGCTTGAAACATAGTGAAATATAGTTGTGAACAATATATTGAGGAGGAGAAGAAGAGGTGTGGCAAACAAAAATTAGTTTAATGGGGACTGAATTAGTATTGATTTAGATGTAAAGCCTGTTAACTTTAAAATCTAATTTTATGATGCAGGGTGCATACTGAGAGAACTGTGTGTGAGTGTGATGCAAAACATCCGGCTCCCCTTCCATGCAGCCTAGCAAGCTATAGTATTTGAGGCCTAATTATTCAGTTAGTTAATAAGTTAATTTGTTCTCTTGCCTCCATGTCACCCTGCACACTGCTGAATAAGAGGGCAGAGAAGGGCAGGTAAAGCATTAATGTCTTGTATAAAAACTGCATACAGTTTAGTCTGGTCAGCAGTAGTTCTTGCTGGGGTAGGCAAGTAGACAACCATGCCTCCAGTTTTGATTCAGAATGTACCTTAAAATCAGTATTGAATAAAGCCCTTTAAAAGGAGAATCTTGTTCAGTACAGTATTTTCTGACATCATGACTCCATTTGAGTTTTTCATATTGTATCCCGTGTGTCATCATAACATGAAAAATTAGTTCGTAATCATAAATTAGTTAAATAGTTATAAGCCAAAAGGAGACTGTAAAAGGAGGTGATAGGAAACATTAGCCAACATTTATGTATGGTACAGAAAAGCCCTACAGCTAGTAAGCTGAATTTCACTGTGGGATATAAATAATGTCTTCAAAACTTTGTGTCAAGAAAGTCTTTGTGTGTGAAGTGTACAGAAAATGTATGTTCTATATAGCTAAAGATAGACCATGTTGAGAGTAATATATTGTGTATTTTATTTGAATCCTAATAACTCAGCAGTCCTGCAGATCATCTTTGGCTGAGCTTATGGCAAGGACATCCTTAGACCTGGAGCTGGATCTCCAGGCATCCAGAACTAGACAGAGACAGCTGAATGAGGAGATATGTGTTTTAAGAGAGTTGAGACAGCGTCTGGAAGATGCCCAACTCAGAGGGCAGACAGATCTGCCCCACTGGGTCCTTCGGGATGAGCGATTCCGAAACTTGTTGAAGGAAGCAGAAAGGCAGGTATGGTAACATGAGATGAGCACTCAACGTGTTCATAAACTTCTGATTTCAAAATTGCTTAATGTCTAAAGAGCTGTTTTTACAGAACTTTAGACAATGAATGTTGCTTATTAGTCTTCAAGTTAGCACAATCCTAGTAACAATTGCATCAATTATTACAAACTGTGTATTTATTTGAGGACAGTTACTGGAGAATGACACTGTCAATGACACTTTTTGTTTTCAGTTTGGGGTTTTTTTAGATACTATTGGAACTTTAATAAGTTCCTTCTGATCTTTGAAAGAAGTAATTGCTGATTAGATCTTTAATATTTACGGGTATTTGGACTGTTCCCTAAGTGTTTGATTTTTATTTTTTTTTTCTTCCTGTTGGAGAAAGAAGTGAAAGGCAAAAAGTGACAAAAACTGCACAACAAACAGAATTTGTCATTGGATTATCAGAGGAGTGAGCCTAAATTTATTCTGAGGTCTGGTTTGGCAGATCTATTAGCGGTAAATTTCAGAAATTTAATACATGTATGTCTGAAGAGCATTAGGAAATGAAACAACACTGTCAGCATTTTGAATTTATAGATCAGCTACTTCAGACAATGTATTTGTGTGGGTTTACTATGGTGAGTGGCAAAAAATTCATTATTTTAGCCTGGATATTAATTCTTGTGTTTTATTTATTCACATGATTGTTTTAACCATTATATTCTTATTTTCAGACAAGACAGACCAAATTTGAACATCACCAAGAGCAAGCAGCTGAAAAGATGCTGAAGAAAGCATCAAAGGAAATATACCAGTTGCGTGGGCAAAATCAGAAGGAGCCTATTCAGGTGCAGACTTTTAGGTAAGTGGTAATGTGTCCTGAAATAGCAAAGCAACATTTCATTAGAGAGGTTAGAGCTCTCTGAAGCATTAAGCTTAAATTCTGTGTGTCTTCTACATAGCTAGTCATTTTTAACTGTATGTTGATTTGGACACATGAGTTTCCTTTGGATTATTTGTAGTGCAAAGAGCCAAAGGTAAGGTAAAATTGCAGTGTTATGATTCTAAACCACATGAGATATAAATAAAAGAAGAAAGGTCTTCAAGTGCAACCATAGCTTAGGTGATTCTTTCAACTTAGTTTAGTCACTGTTAAGTTCACATGATTTGTCAGTTCTTCAATGCGTGCCTGTGGGCATATTTTGTTTAACGTGATGCATATATACATACATATACTACTAGTAGCACTCTTTCCCTAAAAATGAGTGATATTCCAGCTTTCTCTCAAGAAGCCTTTTCTTTGGACTTTTTTTCCTGCTTCATGTGTGTTCACACAGTATGTGTTTTCTCTTAGCTTTATGTTTGGGGTTGGTTTTTATGACTTTATTTTGTGTAGAAATGGCATTGATGACCAATACCCGTTTCACAGGAAGGCTTCATTACTTAAGCATCAATTTTTTTTATAATTCTGTAAGTTTTTATATGTTTCTTTTACTCAAATAACCCATCAGTTCATTATGTAAGGAACAAATAGTAACCATTAACTAGAGTAAATAAGCCATGTTCTTGGGGGTAGAAAAATGTAGGCATATATTTGACTTGCTTCCTTTTTATCTTGTTCTGATCACAGGGAGAAGATAGCTTTTTTTACAAGACCAAGGATTAACATACCTCCTCTGCCAGCTGATGATGTATGACATGTTGCATTGTAAACATGAAGTATTTATCGCTCTTATTTTAATGAAGTTACTAGATTAGCCAAGTTTCTTAAAAAAATTGTGCAAAAGCTAATATACACGTTTTGTAAAAAATAAAAAAAGTAAAAAAAGTAAAAGTAAACAAAACCATATATATAAATATATATACATATATATTTTATAATAGTGACTGCAACAAGGCTTGGTTTTTCCTTGTTGTGAAACTGACATCTCTGAAGACAACTTATTTTATAAAAGATCGACTATCCTGTTAAGAGCGTGTACAGTTTTTATGCTGTTTTATTTGACTTAAAGGCTGGAAGACAGAAACAAAGTGAGTTCAGGCAAATTCACTGTAGTGTAATTTATTTATAGTGCCTTTTTTCCTTGAAGGAAAATACCTACTTTAAGATGTATTTTAAGACTGAAATTTTGTTCTTCAGTATTTGTCATACAGTAGAATGGAACCATTGAGCTGGTTTTGTTTCTGATACCTGAAATGAAAATACTATGTTCTAAAATTGTCACTTTTTTCAGCTTTATTATCTGTAGCTTATTATGTACATTGTATCCTTTAGCACTGTCTGTGTTATAGCAAAATATTATCACCTGCAATGTCTTTAACACTGATTACAAGTGATGTTAAACATTGCAGAATTCATTTGCATGTTCTTACTGTGCACTAATAGATTGTTTTCATTTCGGTTGTGTCTAAAGTATCTTTATATTCTTAACTAGATTCTCATTTTAAACGGAGGAAGGAAAAGGGTGACAAGTCTTTCTCTTGCTGTTTAATGGAAAGGGAGTTAAAAGAGCAGAGTGAGCTAGCTGTGTGGAAAGGCCACTAAAGGAATATGATCGTAATTTCTCAATTTTAAAGATTATGAGCTGATTCAGGAAATACATATGCGCTGATTCCAGAAAGCAGCTGCTTTAAGGAAGGGTGCTTAAACACGTGTTCATCCTGAAGGATGTATTTTTGGGTTACTGCATGCAAGTTCTTTTGAACAGTGACACTTTCCAGGAGGAAGGTGTATAATTCTGGAAGGTACAGCTCACTTGATTGCTAGTTGGACCAGCTAAAATCCAGTAGGAAATATTTTTACTTGTGACCATTTTAGTGAAAGACTGTCACCCTAAATTCCCGAGAATGCCAGTTTTGTGTCCTTGCATCCTGCAAGTATGTAAAAATACTTCTTTACTAAGCTACTATAATAGAATTCCTCATATTTTTCTAATTATATGTTACCTATAAAGAGAGGTGCCCAACACAAGACTGGTTTTGCAACTTGCTGAAATCTCCTAATAGGAAGATCCCACTGTCTCTTCATTAAAGTAAAGGTTGAATTGGTTCCAGATTTTTGTATGTCAGGAAATGAAAGCAACAGCCAAAGCCTAAATATACTTAACCAGAACCAGCCAGAATATTTTCAAGTATTTTGTAAGTAAGTGTTTTTTGTGGGATTCAAGAGCTTATACTCTGTTACCTGTCAAAGATCAGGAAAACCTGAAAGTGAAACTGAGTTGGTTTTACATGTTTAAGCTGAGGCAAAAAGTAATAGGGGAAAAGATTGTAAACCTAAATCATTAATCAATGAGGATGATTACCACAGACCTTTAAGGTAGTATTCCCTGTTTCCTAGTATGGCCTATAATCATTGCAGGCATCAAGTGATTAGATCATATAGCGATATACGTAAAATTAGAGTATATTTAGCATTTATCAGGCTAACCATCCTGAAGTCTGTTTTTGCCAGTAAGCTTCAGTGGGTGTATATTGGGTTCCTTGGGCACAACTAGACATACTCAGAAACTATGCAGTTAAAAAACAAATCATGTAAGAAATTTATAGTGTTTGGGTGAAAGTCTAGGGACAGCAAGCTTTTCAGTGCTCATTCCTTGAACAGTTTGTCAGAATTTCACATCTCATTTTTAGTGGAGGCCCTTACATAGTAGTGTTTTATCAAAAGTTACCATGCAGGGACACTTGCAGAAGTACTTGATGTATATTAAGAACAGCCACCACCATGTGTCCCTTGAGGGTGGTCAGATACTGGAAGAGATTGCCCAGGGGGGTGGAGCTCTTTGTCCATGAAAGGGTTGAGGACTTCACTGGGCACATACCCTGGAACATCCTGGTCACATTAGGCCCACTTTGAGCAGGGTTAGGATAGGGATCTCTCTTCCTCCCTGAATTAGTCTGTACCTGTATAACTAAGGGGCAGTATCTGGTGGCCTCTCTGGCAGGGGTTTCAGCTGGTGTGTTTAAATAATGACCGCTCTGAGATGTTGTCAGTGTATCTTGTGGGTCTGTGATTCTGACTGCTGTAATGAGTTCTGTCTTGATGTGGTAATGAGATATACTCAGTATTCATCTCTCTTGTTTTTGTCACAGTTCTGTATGATTGTGTCATTTTTGTATTATTTGAAAGTATTTCTTCTACAAAATAAAATAATTTGCCATAAACGGAAACAGATTTTTGTTATAGGTCAGAGACATTTTTTGAATAGTTTATACTTGCCACATTCATGAAGCTTTTGTAAAGAAATGTTGAACAACTGTCATTTAGGTTAATGTAATGAATTTTCAAATAAAAGGAAATACGTGAAATCAGAGATACTAGAGAGGTTACACTGAAGACCTGAAAGGGATGCAGAGTATAAGGAATGACAGGTATGTTTTTCCGTGTGCTTATCGCTTGTGATAAGCTGACAGCTGTATCGGAGGCTCAGAGTTGAATATTCCTGGAATTCCTATGTAGCCCCTCTTACAACAGGTTGAACTGCCTTCTTTACCTACCTAGAGTTTGTAGGTTTGTACTGGAAGTAAGTTGACATTTCTCTAATATCTTACCTATGACTAATTCCAAAGTGGAAGCCACTCAAAAGAATACTGGTTAATTTTTTTAGGCTGAACTTTACTGCAGCTGGAAATGCTAAACCTTTGTAGTTACAGAAAGGCAAGTTTCCCAGTTTCTCTCTACAGCCCTGAGCTGCAGGAGCACAGGCAAAATTGCAGTATGGACATGTGACTCCTGCCTCTGCGCAGTATTTGCAAGGCGTTAAGGGTATGACAGAGTTTAGGTTATTTTTAAACAGTCAGCTAGAAATAGTAGTTTGGAATACCAATCGGCCCTGTCTCACTACCATCAGGATCAACAACAAAAGCTATAATGGGTACGTTGGTGTGGGGTTTCTGTTATGAGAATGAAGTCTTACATATATTTTTTCTGCAGTTCTTGTAAGCACTTTGCATGACTTAAAGGTAAGTGCTGTATAGAAGGAGCTTTTTTTCTTCTTTTTTAATTGGATTAACTGTGTATTTTGTTTTTACTGGATGCAAAACTGAAGTTGGAATTCGTAGGGAAGAGGGCACTTTACAGCTCATTTTGACTCCAGTCTCCTTTTTAATTATAGTCATAAATCTTTGAGAGGAGGAAAAACGTATTTACAAAGAGATTTGAGAAATCATGGGCTAGCAAAAGCAAGAACAATCTTTTCCAAAAGATCGTGTGAAGAGTGTTATCTTTGTCCTGAGACTGTGCAGCTGACTGGGTATCATTGGAAGAAAATACCAAACAGTAAAGTTGATTGGGTTTGGAATCTCTAAATGTCAGATAAGTGATTTGCTTGCACTTTGGAAAATCTCAGTATTCTTGGAGTTAAAAACTTCTTAGGAGCTGTTTCTGGTTTCCTGTGATTTCTAATAATGTCTTAAATTTTAGCATACATATCTAGGTTACAGAATCACATTTTCTATAGAGAATTAGGTATTTTGTCTCTTTGCTTTCAGTTAGACAATCCAAGTAAGAATACGCGTTTAGCAGGAGACTCAATGGGGTCAGCTCTGGTAATAGACAAGGAAAAATTAGGAAATTAATTTAGGGAAGTGTATCCAGGAGAAAAATGGGGAATTGAAACCTCTGTGCTCATTTGGTTAGTGCTGAAATTGCTGTTCTGTGCCTTGGGCATGGTGTTTTTGTTCCATGTGTGTTTTGTGGCACACAAGTTCTGGGTTCAGGTGTTTGTGTCTGACCAGTTAAATGCTGCTTGCTGTTTTCCATGTTTTCCTCTCATAAACTGATGAAGGAAAATTAAAGACACATTACCAAGAAAATCTAAGTGCTCAGTGGTTGTTTAACTTCTGCCCCAGAATTCAGTCGGCCTATTAATACTGATTTTAATGGGCACAAAGAACATTCACTGGTAGGAAGTTAGGACTTCTCTCGCTTTTCCACACTTCATGGTTATTGTAATAGGCCTGGGGCTCTTTACAGCTCTGAGTGGTGAGGAACTGTCATCTCCAGATCAGATTTTTTCCCTAAAGGCATGTTCCTCACTCCAGAAAGGTGTGGGAACTTCAGGTGAAGCAAGCTCAGTGTTCAGATGTCACAATAAGATCCAATGTGTTGCTTCTGCGCAGGAGGTCTTCAGCTTACAGACAGGATTTGGGCAAGCTGTGAAAAAAAAGTTTTGGACACCCCGAATCAACTGGTTTGCTTTGCCGGGCTAGGCTGCCTTCCTAGTGCACCCATAAATACCTGCTCAGACACACTGGGGCAAAAAGGTCTTCAGAACTGCATTCCTCAACCTCTGGAGTGAGTGGAAGTCATGCGAGTGCCTTTAGTCACCCAGGGATATTTTCATGGGTGCTTGTTCAAGGTCTCCCCCTTCCTAGCCATTGCATCTCCTTAGTAATACGTGCCTGGATGCCCTTAAAGATAAAACCAGACTGCTCCAAATACGGCAAAATGAGTGGGAAGGTGAATGTCCTGAAATAAAACACATTGCACAAGTACAAACATGTACATGATCTTCGCAAAGTACAGTTATAACCTCTGCCTTGCAGAATGCTATCCCAGTGGCTTGGGCAAATTAGAAATCATTAAGTTTCTTGCAGAACTCACATATGTTATAGAGTATAAAAAAATTCTTAACCAACAACCCGCAAAATCCCCCCAAAATATGCTTCTGAGATGTAATATTCAGTTAACCAAAATGGGGGTCAGGCTAATTGCCTGGGTTTCTTTTTCTTATATATTTTTTCTTTATTTCTTTTATTTTATTAAATCATTTTGGGATGTCCTATTTTTTAAATATTCGATAGGAAAACTTCTGCATAAGTTTTGAAAAGTAGGCTGTGGCATATGGGAGAGGATCTTTCAAGCTGTGACAGCTGCATTGAAAAAAAAAAGGCAGAAAGCTGCAAGTAAAGTGATGCATAGATGGTGGGGCGAAGTGAAGGTAACAGAAATTAAACCTTTGAGTTAAGCTTGTGAAGCTTGAATATGATGCAGAAGATGGAGGGAAGTCAGTGTGGATAAGCTTGAAATGAAGCCCCGGGAGAAGGAAAAATGCAAGGGATGGTGAAATCATGGCTTGTCTTGTTTCCAAGCTGCTGCGATTACGTATTTCATAGAGATGAAAGAAAATCTGACGCCTGGGTGTTGCTGCAGAGTCAACAGGAATAATTCCTGGGTTGCACACAGCACGCTTACTGTGCTTTTTCCTTGTGAAAAACGTGATCGTTGTCGCTCTAGCAGAACAATCCACAAACCCCTTTGAAAATAATTAGCTCAGGTTAGGGGCGGGGGGAAGCAGCCTGTGTTCTGAGGGTAACCGAATAGGGAGGGCAGGGTAAAGAGGCTTGGAGTTTAATCCTGCAGGATTACAGACTGGTCCAGCTGCCTGTGGCCGCGTCTCCTATCAGATACCCTATAGAGGGAGGATACAGTCACATGATTGTTACTGCTTCCTCCCCATGACATCACCGCTTCTGCAGCCATACCACCCAAGGAAGGATGCTATTATAATCTTGGGGACTGGGCTAAATGATGTTGCATCGCAGGTAAGCGACACAACGCTGCGGAAAGTGTGATTTGCCGCTTGCTTTTCTCCTATTGCCATGCTCAAGCCCGAGCTCTGTGAGGCAGTTTCTGCTGAAAGAAAACAGAGCAGCTCCTTGTGCAAGCAGAGGGTTCGCAGGTGCAGAGGCTGCTGCTGGCTCTGTGCTGAGCTGCCAGCTGACATCTCCAGCAGAAATGCTGCCAGATGGAGCTTTCAAGCCGAAGAAGGCCCTTTGTCCCTGTTGGTGTGGTAATGCCCCTTCGGGTGTCTGCTGAATTCTCTGTGTGAGCAGCCATCATCAGCCAGTCTTGCAGAGAGAGCGCAGCAATACTGTTCTGCTTGCATTCCTTGCCTTTTCTTTTTCCTGGATGCCTGAAGAAAGTTGGACAGATGAATGTGTCTAAGCTCATAAAGGAATGAGGATTAACTTGTATTTGGGGAAAGAGGCTTTTCCTCCATTGTTAAGTTTTGCTGACGCGGTTTGAAAGTACCTAGTCCAGCAGGTTGCCTGCATAATTTGCTGTAGTGCAAGGTAGGTTTTGCATGTTGTCCAATATAAGAATGAAAAATCACTTTCCAAAAGGAACATGCGAGATAAGAAGCATGTTTTTACTTCTTGCACAAAATGCTATCTCCAAAAGGCTGAAAATCCCACGCTGAACTGCTTTTTTGAACTGTTGGTATTTATATAAGCAAAGGCCAGAGTCGCTTTTCTTTTCCTGGTGTGAGTGTTAATTACATACTCTGTACACATATGTGAAGACATATATATTTGTGGAGTAAAAATGGTGACTCTTCTGTGGTGGGTTTGGGGTTTTTTTCCCTGTATTGCTTTTTAAATGTATTTTAGGGGTTTTAAAAATATTCTATTACTTTAAAATTACTCTAATTACAGATGTTAGAATGCAAGGCGCCAAATCAATTTTTGAGCTCAGAAAAATAAAATAGTACCTTTTTTTCCTGCTTTTCTAAGCATTCCGGTAGGTAATTCTGTGCCTGTGCTAGAGAACGGAGGATGACTCAGCCTCAGCTTCATCAGGCAGGCAGTCAGGTGGCTTTTCACACCTAGCTTGTAGGAAGTTGTTTTTATTCTTGAAAATCTTATTCTTCGTTCAAATAAATTGTTCCCAGTCTTGGAAAAATCCATAAATTTGTCACGTCTACGGTCTCAATGAGCATTCAAGTGGGGGATTTTGGATCTCCTGTGCTGAAGGAGGTTATACATCCTAGTAAGAAATGAATTGACAGCCTGAGAGAGTTGGGTTTGTTCAGCCTGGAGAAGAGAAGGCTCCAGGACGCCTTATACCAGGCCTTATACCAGCCTTCCAGTACCTAAAGTAGGCCTACAAGAGATCTGGTGAGGGACTTTTGTAAGGACATTTAGTTAAAGAACAAAGGGGAATGGCTTTAAACTGACAGTGGAGATTTACATGAGACATTAGGAAGAAATTCTTCACTGTCAGCATGGTGAGGCAGTGGCACCGGTTGCCCAGAGAACCTGTGGCTGCCCCATCCATGGCAGTGTTCAAGACCAGGTTGGAAGGGGCTTTGAGCAGCTTCGTTTAGTGTGAAGTCTTCCTGCCAATGGCAGAGGGGGTTGGAACTGGATGAGCTTTTAAGCCCCTTTTAACTCAAACCATTCTGATTCTGTGACACTAATTCTGGTTTCCAGGGAACAGGTATGCAGTAGTGTCAGAACATAAGGGTGGAAAAAACCAGAAGTATATAATGAATTAAGAAAGAACATCAGTTCTTCAGAACTGAAAACTAGTTTTCAATTTTGTTTTTCTCCAACAGAACCTCTGGGATTATTTTTTAGGGTTTTTTGTTTGTTTGTTTGTTTGTTTTTTCCCCAAGACTGAGCCTCAAAAGTGATAGAAATACACATCTTGTTGTATAAGGTGGCAGGGGGGCTGCATCCAAACGGTGCCCATGCCACGTGTCTTCTCCTGGCTCCTTCTGAAGTCAAGGCTGGATCAATTCTCTTCAGCACTGGGTGTGAGTAGAGCTGTCCTCTGGCTCATCAGGCACATGGGGCTTGGCTCTTTGCCCATGCAAAACTCACAGCAGGGACGACACACGTGAGTTCTACAAGTGCAGTGTGCTTCCCCCCCCCCACCAATCCCAGATCATACTTGGATGCCTTATGGAAGTATGTGCTGAGTGGTGGTTTTCCTGGTCTCCTGATTTGAGTCAGGCATCTTTGTGCAACAAAAGACAAGGTGCAAGCCTGAAAGATATGCTGGGACAACTCAGAAATTAAGGACTGAAATCCTTTAACCATTATTTAGTATATTTAGTATAAATTATATATTTAGTATTATTTATACCCTGGAAACATCCCCAGCTGGAGGGCTCTCTGCCTGGTAGCACCAGGGTGCCATGTCCTGAGTTCAACATGTGGCTGTATGGGTGCTCATCCCCTGTGAAGGGAGAACCTTTTCAGAGGTAGTGGCTGGTGGCTTTTAAATGAGGACTGGAAGAGGAGAAGGGGATGGTGTTGGAGGGGAGCGTTTGCCATGGGCTTGGGTCCTTCCCATCTTCCTGGAGCAAACAGGGCTCTCCAGAGTGCTGTAACCTCCCAGGTCTGGGAGATGCTTCATTGTGAAGCCATTGTTGGCTGGACTGGAAGGGAAAGTGAGGGGAATCATTACTACAGCTCAGTGCTTGTGCAGGGGTCCATCCGGGCCATCTTGTGTGTGTTGGTGGTCAGTGTTGTGTTGCATGAGCCTCCCTCAGGTCTGACAAGCTCTTAGCATAGAGCATGATCCTCAAACAGCCATAGTGCCCATCTGTACCAGCCCTTTTCCAGCGTGCTTTTGCCATCAGGCTGCAGCTTGCAGAGTTCCAAGAGTGTTGATTCTTCCATGTAGTGAAATGGGATCAGGTTGTGGAGCAGAAGTCTAATCTGTGTGTGCATGCATACACACCAGGTACGGGGTTTTCTCAGATTTCTTATCTGTAGTCCAGCAGAACCACCCCCCCCCACCCTCCCCCCCCGATCATTAATGTCAAAAGAGAAACTCTGTCAAGGTTACGGTGAGCTGCTATTGCTAAACCACTTCTAACATGTTGCTCCCAAACATCACCCCAAGGAAAGGATTTCCCCCTCTTGCAGGTGGGAGAGCTTCCTCTCAGGGGTATGAAGTAACTCATCTGTTACTGCACAGCCCATCGGCATCAAATGCAGCAGTGAAAACCAGTGACTTGCGAACAGGAAAACATCCTCCATCTCTGTGAAAATGGCTTACTGTCTCCACTCAGATCATGGGAATTGACGTGGTAGAACAGGTTAATGCCTTTTTTGCTGCAGGTTTATTACCGTTATTTCAAGCTGGAGGCTTAAAATGTTTTTGGCAAGAGATGCATTTGATGCCATTGAACACCCCATTTAAGGCAAAAGCTTCTTAGGGGTAACTGTATACCAGGGTATTTCTCTTTTGACAGTGCAGGTCTGTTCTCTCCAGAGGTATTTGCCTTTTTTTGCAGTCCAAGAAATGTTTTTCCTACTCTTTAATCCTACCACTTTCTGAGCGAGGAGACAAAATGGCAGCACTGGAAATCCAAACCTGGTGCTGCAAAGCTTGGGTGTGTGAGGAGGAAAACTGTACAGCACCCCTAACCCTTCAGCCCCATGAAGCTCCGTGGCAGTAAATCCAGCTGCTCCAGGAAAGGTATTCCCTCTGGTTTTTGTGAGGAAGGGCACTAGAGGGAAATCAAGAATAGAAACTCTGTGTGTGCTACACTGGTACCCTGATCTCCAGTCTCCTGTCTTCTGAAGCTTAGTTTCTCACCCCAGATCCTGAAGGCTTTCTGAATTTTATCTAACCAAATCTTGTTTCCTTCAAGAAGCAAGGGTGTGTGGGGTCAATGCAGGCTCAGGGGCTCAGCTGCCCAAGCTGATGGGATGTTAGCAGAGGGGCATCCTTTAATAGAGATGTTTCAGCTCAGCTGGAAAAACCCAGATGGATGTGCCAGAGCCAGCAACACTTCCCTCCTGCTTTTTCCATAGCCCCAGCATCTGAGCTAACAACCAAATTTATTGGAGGAACCTTTAAGACTCGCTGAAAACAGAGATGTGAGTTTAACATTTTTTTCATAAGGAGCCAATTTTTATTTATGTGAGTGCAAAAATTCCACTTGGAGCTTACGGGGAAGGAGCTGGGATATTTCCCACCCCCCACCCCCCCATTCCCTTTCTGACATAAGTCAGCAGCTGAACTAATTTTGCTCACACTTTACAAGAAAACTCGAGATCAGACGCTTGATATTTCATACCAAAATAAATTGGTTTCTAAAGAGAGAGTCATCCTGGGAAGGAGCAGGGAGCAGGATACCAGGATGAGGTTCACCCCCTTGGAGTAAGAGAAGTGTAGTGATCCAGGGGCTTCCCAGGAGGAGAGAAGGAGAAGAGGGAGGCTGTAGCCAAAGGAAGGGGAAGACCTGATAGCTGGTTATCAGCTCCTGGGGTACACTGGTGCACTCCATGTCCTCCCGTGCCTGCCTGTGCTCCTGGGCAGCCCTGTTACCTATCTCTCTGTGCTCACCCAGGAGTGCATCTGGTGGTTGAAGGCTGCGGTTTGGTCTGGAGGAGCCCTTTGTGCCTCAGTTTTCTGCCATTTATCCCAGATGTTCCCTCCCTCCTTCCCCCTCTCTCCCAGGCCCTCCCCCTGTGATCTGGTGCCCTGTGTTTTTTTGAGCTCTGCTGTGGCTTCATAAGTTTTTCCATAGAGGTTACTCAGGGTAAGGCTGCACATCAAAGATGTGACTGTATTCAGCTTCCCTGCACTGTCAGAGCAGGAGACTCCTTAATGTGTGGTGGGGGCCATACAATAAAATACTGCAGCCTGCCTGTACTTGTGTGGCGGGAGACTGAGGGTTTGCAATGCTATGTGGCTGTGTATGGTGGCTGTGCGATTCAGCCCTGAACTGTAGGAAAGGCATTTGCCAGTTTTAATACCCCCCTTCCCCCTGTATTTTCCCAATTTAACTATTCTTCAC